CGTGTAAAAAAAAAGTGTCAGTTTTGTTGCCAGGTAAAAGGGTAAAAAAAACAATGATCATATTTTGCTACTGCCAAAGGACGTTCCAACACGTTGGCCCTTCGCGACCGATTATTATCCACAATAGAGTTTGCGCTTTGGGTTGTATAGCGTAAATAAAAATGTCCCGTTAAACCCGCCACCACCCGACACAGCCAAGGTTTGTCGCGTAATTACCGGCGGAACATTGTACTTGGGTGGTGGCGGGTTTAACAGCACATTGATTCTTCACGCGATCTAAAAAAAAAACAAAACCCTATTATGGAAGAGCAAACCAGCACGACGTTTCATTTACAGAAAGCACAACACTACAATTGCAGCAAGTAGTAACAGGATGCACCGGCACAGGTGATTTTTGACACCAAATTTACAAGCAACGGAACTCGCCACCGCACACTCTTGACGCCGAACGGACGTTCCCGTGATGCAGCGTTACCTCGAATATTACGAACTGCGCATTTGACGGCACCAACGTTTGCAACGAGCCCAGTAGCTGCGGCAACGCATTCTCCCGCGCGTGAGATTATCGAGACATCCGTGTTACGTCGGTGGCCCCGTGGGCAACAATCGTTAATTTCTTTGATCACGGCGTTCTATAAAAATACACTGCAATCTAGGTCAAGTTTTTGATTTGAGCATTTCACTTGGAGAGCCCCTCCGTCCACCCCCATTAAAAAAAATAACAATGGTCCAAGTACCCGGGGATGATGGATACATTCAAAGGCCCGGTTCAAATCGTCACAAGACCTATTTCGAGTGAACGCCCAGGGAGGGTGGGGGGGGGGCATTAAAGCGGCAGCGACATCTTTCGCAGGTCCGCGAGCAGTTCGTGAACATCAATTGCACTTTAAAACATTCCATTGTTCAAGCAATAAAAAGCCGTTAAAACGAAAACACCATCCAGAACGCCGGACATAGCGGAAGAGGTAGTTGGCACGGTTATCGCCGAGAGGGGGATGGACACACGACCCGATCCCGTCACACGCGCCGTTCTGCCACTTCGCTGCAGCTCACCAACACTTCACCGCGCCTAAACGCTGCTTACTGCAATCTTACCAGCGTGACATCGTCGCGGCCAGATAATGTGCGGAACTCGCCATGGAATTTTTTTTTTTTTAAAACGGGTAGGCTCTTCTGAATAATTAGCTACAGTTGCTGCTTACGAGGTAGATCTTCCAAACGCTCTAATTTTCCCCCGCTGTATGATTCTAATTTGGAGACGCCGCTGCCGCCGCTGTTGTTGTCTGCCGGCTGAGTTGACCCTTGGATAAGAGCTGCGTAGCTCAATGGCATTCGGGAGGCGGGTGGGAGGGGAATAAACTTTATAAACGTGACTCCGTCCTGTCTGGCACAACGCCGCACCTGTGATGCTGCAGGGCCTGCCAGCGTTCGAGACAGAGGTGGCCTGGAAGACCTCTCCACACTGAACTCTACAGCGGTGGTGGCCAAGACGTAAAGCAGGATCCATGGGTGGGAGAGGGTCACAATCAATACATTTGTGGGTCTCGGGACAAACCGGGACAAACGCCGGACACCACTGAGCCGACGACAATTCTCGTTTCGGCCGATGCCAAATAAAAAGCCCCGAACGAGAATGAAGCTCATATCTTAACGAGATAATGCCGAACAATAGATGGCCCTAGTATTTGGTATTACCAGGGGACTGGCAAACTTTCAACGAGGAAGGGCCATTTTTTTTTTTAATCTTTGCGCCAAATAGTTCGAGAGCCGCATCACACGCGCAGAGTCACGTGTGCACAAACACGGCGGTTATATACAGCAGATGACAAATTCTGACTTAAATTTAAACAAAATAGGTGATGGAATAAACTTCGTCCATTTACTTTTTTCCACCCACCCTTAGCAGATCGCGTAAATGTATGTGTCGTAAACCCGCCACCACCCGACACAGCCAACTGGCAACAATGCAGCTCGTGACTGTTGTGCACATTTATCTCGTCACCAAAACATTCCATAGTGACCCCACTGCCTGTCATATGTCATAAATTTGCCTGTTATCGTCGAGTAAAATTACATTTAAGATTTAAGTAAAACAACAATGGCTGTCTGCCGGGGGGGGGGGGGGGGTGGGGGGGGGAATCGAACCCTGGCACAGGAGCCAAAGAACCGCGCACGCTACAATGGAGCCACAAGGTTTCTGACCCCTGGGTCAATCTACTAAATCGCGCACAGGGAACTCTAACGCGTCATGATCCAGAGATCTGGGTTCGTTAAGTCCAACTTCACTCCCGTCGATTCCAAACACGTCGTACGGCACGTGCACTACACACGGGGGACGACTTTAAACGTTGTATAATCTCCTGTGGCTGTATATGCCACTGGTTCTTCACGTTCTGCAGACGTAAATGCCACCACCGCCATTCTATTGCGCGGCGGCTGAACTTACGACTCGCAGTCCGAACAGGCAGCTGGACATACGGACAGATCTGTTTGTAAGTAGAGTCCCTGCATAGAACAGGGTTCATTGTTGGCGATGACTTGTGGTGAATCGCGGAGCCCTCCGAGATCCACCAAGAGAGATCAACCGTGCTTGTTGGATTGGCCACCGATGGCTGCGGCCCACGGTAAATGTGATTATGCGGATGACGGGTCACTGGCAAACGTGCAAATGTTACGCGTTGATTTTTTTCAATTCGTTTGCACATTCGAAAGTGCTCGGAAATTCTGCATCGCTTCGAAGGTTCATCACGGAACCCGTCGAGCAGATTACTTGAGCAACGTGGCCACGTAAAATATTTTTGATTTCATTAAAACGTATATACATGCAAATGATGGATACTAAAATAATCACCGATAAAATTGCGTAAAACACTCAACTCAATGCGGTTACAGTTATTTCGCGGCAGGGAGGGAAATCACCGCCTACTCCCTTCGATAGGATTAAGCTGAAACTCATTAAATTCTCTGTCCACCACTTACAACTGCATTAGTTTCACATTTTACTATTACTCTGCTTGTTTACCCAGCAAAGTCTCAAGGTTCAGGATGGTCCTGCCAAGTTTTTTAAGCGAGGTGGGCAATGTTGCTGCTGCTGCTGCTGTGTGCAACCCCAATTGAGTACAGTAGAACCTCGGAGATTGAACGCCCCAGAACTCGGAACAATTCGGTGATCGAACAAAATTTGACCATTTTTTCGCCCCGGACATCGGATAAAAATTCGGAGGTCGAACAACTGGAAAGAACCGGTTTGGGCTGAGACGCGTAAGCCAGGGCGACCGAGACGCGTAACCAGGGCGACCGAGACGCGTAACCAGGGCGACCGAGACACGTAACCAGGGCGACCGAGACAAAGGCGAATGGCCCAGTTCACGCGTAGCTCTCGCCCAGTGCAGACCCGCAAAAACATCGTTCCATTAACTTTTTCCTCACCACCTTCCACTCAAGCCATCCACTCTCCTCACTACAGGTAAAGTGAAGTTCAATGTTCATTTATTCTATTAATTATAAGTGTGTTTCTTGTTTTTTTGTATGCTTTAATGTACTGTACTGTATTTTTATATTGTAAACTTTGTGTAAAAATGGCCCATAACAGGAGCATCCTTGGGTGGGGAACCAATGAATGCCATTTCCATTCATTCTTATGGGGAAAATTCATTCGGTGTTCGAACAAATCGGTGTTCGAACACGGCTTTTGCAACGAACCAAGTTCAAACTCCGAAGCACCACTGTATTACATTTTTTTTACTGTTTTGGATGTTTGGTCAACCCCAGTTACGTTGTACGTTGTTTTGAGCTGTGGAACCTGGAGGAAACGGACGCAGAGCAGGGGGAGCGCGAACAAGCTCCGCACGGAAGGACGCCCGTGTCGGGAATGGAACCCTGCCCCCCGCCCCCCCAATCCCTTCTGGCTGTGGTGTGCGAGCGTTACCACTGCGCCACCACTCCGCCGACCCCCCCCCATAACACGTGACACCCAACACGCCTGATAACTGCGCAAATACGCTCGGCATCAATTAAGACGACACCGTAAACCCTTTGGCAGAGGACGCAAGTTAAAAAAAATATTTTGTCATTTCCCCCCCATCTGCAGATCAGAGCAAGTTTATATATCGCTCCGAATTCATGTCATGTGCCGGATGTATGCTGAACATCTTTTGCACCGCACGTAGCCAACCGTGCTAATTGGAGGTGCGGGGAAAGGACGCCAACAAACTAATTAACCATGCGTTTTGCATTTTAGACGCAGAAACAGGATTATTATTGTTTTTAAACCATACAAATATTGTATAATGAGAGGTAATTCACCTCGTGCAGAGTGGAGGCACCGTAATAAAAATAAGCTTACATGAAGAGGTTAAATAGGCCGCAGCGAGCGAGAGAGAGCAATGGAATGCGTCCACACTAATCTATTATTTTGATGATGCTTGTTCGCCCAGGAAAGCTTGACGGGGTCTCACGACTCTTTTTTTTTTCTTCAAGAGGGTCCTGGGGAAAAGAAAGTTCCGCTTTCTCCGCTCCCGTGGCAAGAAAGGAGCGTCGCGGGAGGCGACATCGCGTGCTCGCCTTCACAGGCCGCTCCCTGAAAAAAAGCTTTCCTCTTTCTTTGACGTTAATCTTCAGGCGAAAACAAAACAAACAAAACAAACAAAGAAAAAAAAATATCCTCCGCACGACAACTCGTTCGTGACTGCAATAAGACCGCGACAAAGTCGGCAAGTCCAACAACGTATTTACATTGTAAAAGTTCGAGCTAAAAAACCTTGCCTCGCAAGCGTGCGATAGACTCCAAGGTTGCCATCACGTTATTGCACAAGATGCACTGCTGGGGAAAGGTCCCGGGGAGGCGCGGGAGGGAGGGAGGCGCGGGAGGGAGGGAGGGAGGGAGGGAGGGAGGGAGGGAGGGAGGGAGGGAGGGAGGGAGGGAGGGAGGGAGGGAGGGAGGGAGGGAGGGAGGGAGGGAGGGAGGGAGGGAGGGAGGGAGGGAGGGAGGGAGGGAGGGAGGGAGGGAGGGAGGGAGGGAGGGAGGCGCGGCGGGTGGAGGCTTCACGCGACGACGGGCTCTCTCCCCGGCACAGGCGAGAGCGCGGCGATCGCCCGCGGCGGCCGACGACGGTCAAGTCCCACCAGTCTCGCCGCCGTTCACACGTCGGTCGTGAATTCGTGGTGCGAGCCGCCGCTGCCGCCGCCGCCGTCGCCGAGCAGCGAGTGCCGGTCGAGCAGCTGCACCGAGAGGCCGGCGGCGGTGCCGCCGCCGGCCATGCGCTTGTCCGCGGTGAGCGACGCGATGGACGTCTGGCTGATGAACTTGACGCGGTCCCAGACGCCCAGCTTCGGGGACGTGCGCCCGTCCACCCAGGCGGGACGGTCTCCCATGCCCACGGCGACGCTCACCTCCGAGAGGCTGCACCCGCGCACGCGGCCCCGGGTCTGCGCCTCCAGGCGCGGGCGGCTCGGCTTCTTGTACCTGACGAAAGACAAAGGGTCCTCGCCTACAGCTGCGGAGCGGGCGCCTGTGACGGCCGGGCACGGCACCGTGGCACACACCAAGGGGCGGTGGCTGGTACCGCGCCCGGCCACCTTTGTCTCCCGAGTCGGTGAAGGGGAGCGGGGGGGGCCCAGGACCGGTGCAGATCCTCGTCAGTATTGGCCGAACACGGGTCACAGGGTTCATAGTGCAGCGCGCTAACCCGCTGCACTACAGCTCCGCGCTGCACTAGAGCACGCACAGTGAAGCCACCGCACGACCGGTGCACACATTTCCTGCGCGCTACGATTGCGTGTCCGGACATTTCGGCTAATGATGTACGCAAACGAATTCACGGACTTCAATTCTCCGAGAGCCACCGACAGCGCCCTGCTCGGCGTGCACCGGCGCGCTCTGGGCCCCGAACCCGGGGTCACCAGCGGGATTTTATCCGCACGGCGCACCAGCGCTCTGGAATTCCCGGCCTTTGGGAGGTCAAGGGCCCGGAGTCGATAGCTGAAGACCCCACGATCCGATTTAAAGGGGCCTTTCTCCACCCACCCCGCCCGGCTTCCCTCTCCTTCACTATCCACAACCTAGGTTCTCCCATTTTAGGTTAGTTTAACGCGTAGTCGTGATTTCGAAAAGTTTTTTGGTTTGGACATGTTTGTTTTTGTTGTAGTACAGGGTTAGACTGATGGCCTTAATCTAAGTTGTCTCGTGGTTGTTGTTGTTGCTGTTTGACTTGCATCCCACTGGGATTTTTTGCACACAGCATTGGTGGTGTACGGTGGTTTTTTCAAGGAATATTTTGCTGTTTTTTCATGGATTTTCTGTTTGCACCAGTCACACATAGTAGTCACTTTAAGATGTTTTTCTTGTTCGTGTTTTTGTTTTTTTGTTTGTTGTGGTTGCACCCGATTCAAGAGCCGAATGGCTCACAGGGCTATACCAAAATAAAGAAACTGAAAACTGAAAGTCGTAGGCTTTCGCGACCAATATTATCCACACGCCCGGTGTTGCGGTACCTCCGAGCGTAACCAGGGCACCACGGTAAATTACCTCGCGATCCCGACCCTGAGGCCTAGCTATTCGGAGCGTGCGTGTCTCTGTCTCTCCATGTGTTCACGTGGAATTTCCTCCGGGTCCTCCGGGTCCTCCGGTTTCCCCCTCCCCCCCCCCCCACATTTAGAAAGAACATCACAAAGCGTTTCGAGTACTTGGCTGCTGTACATGTCCATGTGACGATAAGCCACTTCTCGCCGAGCTACCATTTGTGGCCAGGTCGCTTCTGAAAAAGAGCTTCACAGCTCACAGTGGGCCTTACCTTGTTAATAAAAATAAAAAATAAACTGAATTCACAGCCGTTTGCCAGTGCCGCCGTCAACCGTACCCACCCGCGATCCAATCGCGCCAAACGCACGTAGGTCACGGCGCTACAGACGGCGGGCGTTAGCTCACCTCTTGAGCATCAGCGACGAGAGCACAACAGACACGGACGAGGCAGCCATCGCTGCGGCCGCCATCCACGGTTGCAGCACCAGCCCCGCCGGCATGAACACCCCTGCACACGGCGGCAAAGAGGCACAGAAGGCGCGGGCACGTGAGCGCCGCATGGCGCGCCCCCGTATACGGACAGGTGAAGCTTCGCGGGGCTTTGCGCGTCCTTAGCATTCAACCTTCGGCACGTGTCGCGACGGGTATACCCGCGAGATCCGCCCGGATCCGTCCGATGCTCTCCGAGCTGCGGGAGCTTCCGGATGCCGAACGAAAACGTTATTAGGTCACGCTCGCTGACCCGCAATATTCTTGGTGCTGTCGGGAAAGTCACGTAGAGGGGAAATAATAAAACAATAAAAATAAAACGTAATAAAATAAAACTCTCACGACGTTTCGGCCACAACACAAGCAGCCGCCCTCAGGTGAAGAACAGGGCTGTCGGAAAGACAGCGTCCTCATTAGGAAAGCGTCCTCTGTTGATATGTAAACTCCTTTGTCAAGGCGCTCTCCTCCTCCCACCCAGCTTAAAATACGCTGCCAAGCTTAGCAGTGTTCACTGGAGCACTGTCTTTCCGATAGTTCTGTTTCTTCACCTGAGGACGGCTGCTTGCGTTGTGGCCGAAACGTCGTGAGAATTTTACTTTATTGTTTTATTTTTATTATTTTATTATTTCCCTTCTACGTGACTTTACCGAAAGAACCAAGAACATGAATCCCTGCAGTCACGAAAGCTTTAAATCGAAATTTGACCCGCAATACCTCGCTGATCTCGTCAAGGGCCACAAGGCATCACACGAACTCCGGTCATCCATGCAGCAGTGGCTTTTGGCTCAGCCATCGAACAAAGACGGTCACCGCATCACGCAAGGCTCGTGCTTGTCGAGAACGGCTTTTTGTGTTTAGTTTGTTGCCAAAGTGGCGGTGCTGCGGACACAGCCCCAGGTAGCCTCAAGAGACCTGGACATTGTGCTTCCCCCTCACTTCTGATTATCACGGTTGGCTACGTATGGTGCAAAAGAAGTTCAACGCACATACTGCCCATAGACTCAACACTACCTATAGACTCAACACTACCCATAGACTCAACAATACCCATAGCATCAAACCTACCCATAGACTCAACACCGCACCTCCGATTAGCATGGTTGCCTACGTACGGTGCGAAAGAGGTTTAATATACACAACAACAACCGCCATTCGCCACTAAGTGGCGGTGACGTCACCACGACGCTTGTGCCAGGCCATGTGCACCTCGAGGCAACGTGAAGTGTCGAACGCCCGCGGGCAGGAGATCACGGGGCAGACCCAAGTGCCACGGGTCGACTGACTAAGATGACTGGCTGATGCACCACCTGTGCCCCCTACTGTGCCAACTTGCTGTGCTTTAGCCACCCGGCGCTCCGCTCGTTGTTGTGAGCATCGCTTCTCCGCCCTCCGTTGTTGTTGGAGGGCGACGACCTCCAACTGCCCAGTAGCGTCCTTCATGAGCCTCCTCCACAGAGGCCGATCTTGACACCGCTGGTACCAGTCATCGGCAAGTCCACTCAGCTCCACGTCCTCCGGTACCACATCACTCCATCTCTTCTCTAGCTCGTGCCGCGCCCGTTTAGCCCCCTCGATCCGGTCGAACAAAAGCTGTTTCGGCATGCGGTGGCTTGGCATACGGGCTACATGACCCAGCCAACGCAGCCTTGCCTGCCGGAGGAGCTCACCGATGGGACCTTGCCCAGATATTTCAAGGATTTGTGAGCTGCTCACACAATCCAGCCTGGTTAAACCCAAGATGGATCGTTGGCAGCCTAGCCTAAATGCTTCTAACCGGCGAATATGTTCCATTAGGGGGGTCCACGTTTCGCAAGCGTAGAGAAGGGAGGGAATGACCGTGGCCGAGAAGACCTGAAGCTCAGTGCGGAGCGACAGACCAGGTAGCTTCCACACAGAGTTACGCAACCGATGAAAAGATATTGCTGCTCGACTGATTCGGAGTGAGACCTCTGCTGTTAAACTGGAGCCGGTCATAAGCACACTGCCCAGGTATGGGAAACTCTCCACTCTCTCCACAACTACCCCATCACCGATTGGGAGTTGTGGGGGTGGAGTGTCCGATGGTACAAAATACCCAGGCAGGTGCTTAGTTTTGGTGGGGCTGATGGTAAGGCCCCATCTCTTAGTGGCATGCTCCAGTCTCAGCAGCAGCGTCTCCAACTCCTCCTCTGAATGAACAGCTATTACCAAATCATCGGCATACATAACGTGGTTGAGCAATTGGGAGCCATCCCTTGACCGCACCCGGGCATCCATCAGCCTCCCATTATATCTGTACCATATGGAGATTCCCCCGGTACAGCTATTGAAGGCTTCACGAACTATGTGGTCAAAATAGATGTTAAATTATGTGGGAGCCAGAGGACATCCCTGTCGCACCCCAAGGTGTACAGGGAATGGCTCTGACTCCCGGCCACATAGTTTTTTACCCGGGCCCGCTCACCATCATGAAGGTCCTTAATGATCATGAGCAGAGGGTCAGGTACTCCAAAAGCACGAAGAACAACCCAGAGCCCAGGTCTACTGATGGCATCATAGGCCGTGACCAGGTAAATAAAGCAGAGATGTAGGTCTTGCTGGAATTCCCTACAACTCTGCTGTAGCAGACGGACAGAAAATATAGCATCTGTGCAGGACCGCCCTTTGCTGAAACCGCATTGGGGCTCCGCAAGCCTCTTCTCAGCGTGCCTGGCAAGGCGATGTTGAATAATCCTTGCCAGGACCTTTCCCGGCACACTGAGGAGTGAGATGCCCCTGTAGTTGTTACAGTCTGTGCGGTCCCCCTTCTTAAAGAGGGGGACCACCAGGGCATCCTTCCAATCCTGCGGAACCCGTCCAGTGGTCCAGACTGTTGTTATGGTGTCATATAGGGCACTCTGTTCACAAACGCCACCCTCCCTCAGCATTTCGCTTGGGAGATCATCTCTGCCCGCTGCCTTTCCTGGTTATATATACACACATTTACATACAAGCACACTCCCCCTACTGTCGAGGATGCTTCACTGCAACCACCACTGGCCCCTTCTCAAATGCCCATGTCAGTCTCCCCCCAGGGGTTCCGCACGGACAAAAGAAATCAACGCCTTCCACTCATTGGTCTCATCCCACACCGCCAACCTGGCCACTGGTAAACCGATCTGAACCTTAAGCCGACAGCGGAAGACAGACGAGCACCATGTCCAATAAAGACTGTCGAAACTTCGAGCGCTTCCTCAAATTGGTGATATTTCTTGAGTAATTTGGCCATTAATAATAATACTTTCATTTAATGTACAGTGTCATTCCCATAATGCTGTACATGAATTATACATAAGGACCAAATCCTATATACAGCCACTACACCAAGAGAATAAACTTCCTACTACTACTCCCAAGAAAAATAATAAATTAATCATAAAAAATTTGAAATGGCACCAAAATAAAAAAGCACAAATACCACACGAGGTCTACACATTCCAGACCACAATTCCAACTTTCCAACCAGGAGGGCCACAAAATTACGACTAATTCATACCAATAGATCAAATGTCCAAAAAGTTACAATTCTTCCCCCAGCTGACCGTGGATGAGAAGTCCCGAATACCTTTGCTGTATATGGTCGTAAAAAGATTGGGTCTGACTCGTATCAATGGATGTTTACAAGATCTGCTCTGCTATCAATCCCAATTCTTCACGTAGCTTCCTTCTGACACACACGACATCCTCCTGTGAACACTCATCACATCCCTGTTTAACATTGCCCCTCGCCACTCAAACAAGACTCGGACTCATTCTCCATTACGTTTGGGAAAGAGGGCTTGCCCTTCCCCTCCCGGCGACAGCGTAAATCCTCAGTTTAACACGTAGCATGCTTTCGCGACCAATATTATTCATAATAAACGTTTTTGGGTTAGATCGCGTTGTTTATAAATGTGTCGTAACCCTCCACCACCCGACACGGCCAATCGGCAAAAATCCTTGGCCGCGGCCGCCTCTGCGAAGGAAAGGGTTTGACCCCGGGCACTACACTCGAGCAGAAGACTTCTTTGGGGAGCCGACAGGCTGAAAAGGAAGGACGGAAAGCTTCCACCGGGAGCTCCAGTTCCACATACGGCAGCAAACCAGCAGCTCCGCACAGTTCAACGTACATACATATATAGAGACGCGAGGAAAGCCTCCGTCCTGCCTTGTTTGTATGTTGAATTACTTTCGCACCGTGCGTAGCCAACCATGCTCAATGGCCCTCCGCTGCATCGAGAATCGGCCCGGCCTAACAGCCACTTGCTGGGGGGGCGCGGAGGGAGCGCTTGGGCACGCTTGTCCCGGAGACAGCTCCTAGGGTGTTCATACCGCACTGCGCACGGTGGGGTGGGGGGTGGGGGGGTGGGGTGACCGGTGCGACGAGGGGAACCTGCAGCAATGGGGATCCCGACGACGTTGTAGATGAGGGCGAACACGAAGTTGATGTGGATGCGTCGCACCGTCTTCTTGGAGAGGTGAATGCTGGCAACGACGTCCAGCAGGTCGTTCTGCGCACAACAGACGCAGACGGGGCTCAACGCCTACAAAGACAAAGACCTCCCGTATAGCCTCCAATACACCGCAGGGACGAGTGCTGTTAGTGAGCGCCTATGAAGGGTGGGTGGCTAGCACCAGGCCCGGGCCGCCTTTGCCTCCCTCTGCTGATGTTAACACACCGCACTAGGCACTCGTACAAGGCTGAGTCGACCGAGGGGAGGCCTGTAACCAGTTCAGATATTCGCCACTGTGATTGGTCGTGAGCGGTGAATCGAACGGTCCGTTCGGTGCAGCATAGAAAAGTCAGAATCGGTCTTGATGAGACTGCAGGAGAAATCCGATGAGCTATGAAGCTCTTTTTCACGGATGTCCAGTATGGGCACGGGGTCAGCAGAGAAAAGTGCGCTAAACACTGGGTCAACGCTGCCCTCAACACCTGCAGCCACTGGTGGCAGACACGAGCCCGATGGACAGATCTCGGTCTCCACGTTCCATTGGGCAGAAACCACAACGGGAATTCAACGTGCGTTGCCGCAAAATGCACAATGAGGTTCCCTACACAACGACCAAAACATTTACAAGGAATTCAGACTCGGAATATTGATTGATACCGGACTAGCTTTACTACCCGGCTTTGCCCGAGACTTGGGATTCTTTGCTTGGATTAATACACGTGACGTCGGCAGGCACACTGCGTGACGCTGCCCCATGCGGGTGACATCACAGATGTGACGTCACCGCTCACTGGCCGTGCAAAATATATCCATTATTGCGCCCCCCCCCCCCCCCAAAATACAAAAGTATATTGTTATACTTTTTGCATTGTGTACAGTCTGGAAGCTACCCACATGCCAAAATTCAAGTTTGTTGCATGTTGGGAAACATACTAAACATTTCGAACAGACACACATTCACAAATTTCTCTTTTTTTATATATATAGATGACATATGAAGCTCTTTTTCAGAACGTAGCATGTCCATAAATAATTGTTCCTTCATCATTAACTAGAAAAATTAATTAGTGGCTGGGTTCACAGTGCAGTGCTCTAACTTACGGTGCGTGCCCCACCGCTCATTCATCAACAATCCCACGCACCTATAGATTCAGCGGGCTAAACTCGACTTACAACACAAATCATAGATGCACGTATCATGGCACGTGCAATCTAAAAGAGCGAGAGCTGATGAGCGCAATTGTATGCATGTGTGTGCTACTCGGATAATGGTAAACACTTTTTAGAATTTAAAAAAGACAGAACCTATTCGCCACAACACAAATAAGTAAAAACAAAACATGAATTGCTAATTCTACTCGTAGACTTCGGCAACCCAAATTACGGTTCGCATTTAACTTGTACGACCGGACCCAAAAATCAATCGCATTGTATGTGTGTGTGTGTGGGGGGGGGCACGATTCGTAACAGAATCAAAAGGTCCCAATGAATCACGTGACTACGAAGAGAGACGCAGCGCTTCGCCGTGCTGACTGTGCCGCGGGGTGAAGATGCCGGCGCCGGCACTGTCGCAGCCACACGCTCCCGGGCACAACACGGCGCGCGAGACGTTACCTACCATGCCTGGTGCACAGGAGGTCGTGGCTTCCATCGCGACCCTGATGCCAGCATACTGCGCAGTTTGCATGTTTTTCCCTCCCCGTGGCCACGTGGATTTTTCCCCGGACCCTCCACTTTTTCACCCTCCACACTTCTAGACTCAAGCGTCACGCTACGCATTTCCACGCGACGATAAGAGCCGCTTTCCCGACGGGCTGTCACTTGTTACCTTACCCGGTAAAATAAATAAACGAAATGGTTCCCAAAGTTTGCCGCTGTGGACTCACGCGGATGAGGACAATGTCCGCCGCCTCGATGGCAACGTCGGTGCCGGTGCCGAGCGCGATGCCCACGTCGGAGCGGGCGAGTGCCGGCGAGTCGTTGACGCCGTCGCCCACCATCGCCACCGTCTGTCCGCTCTCTTGCAGCTGCTCCACCTTGGCCACCTTGTGCGAGGGCAGCACCTCTGCAAACACGCGCCTGATGCCCACCTACAAAGACAAAGATCGCACCGCACACACACACCCCCGCCCATGCCACGCCACGCCACGCATAGCCTTTAGCGGACCCATGGGGCAAGTGCTGTTAAGCGAGCAGCACCTATGAAGGCGTGGCCAGCACCACGCCCGGCCGCCTTCGTCTCCCCTAGTACCGATGTTTCACACCCCACAGCACCAGGTACTCGACGACTTAGGGGAGGGCCCAGGACTGGTTCAGATAGTCACCACTATTGTTGGGTCCGTAGCACATTGAGCCAAGCACTTTGCCACTGCTCCCTACAGTACACTGCCTACCTACACACACACACAGCAAGTCCACGCACGCGCGCCTGCACGCGCACACACACACACACACAGCACAGCTGCCTGTGTACCATTCACAGCCTACACCAAAACACATGGCTAGTGGATTGTATTCAAACGCTTGTGAAAGGGATCTACCATCCAGTTTAAATCAGTTACAATCGTGCTGTGAGGCTACCTACGTATTAAGATTGTCAAGGAAGTTGAAATGCCAGGCGATTTGGCCAAATGCTCGCGCAGCCTATGGAAACATCAGCCGCAATGATGATAATTACTACCGGGATTGGTGAATTTACATCGCACTGCAATAAAGAACCAAACACTTTATTTGCCATCATCAAAAGCCACTTGTGTGCCATCACCTGCCACCCTTTTAAATTGATGCATCAGCCCAGCTCCCTGCCTTGCTTGTGACAAATTCACCCGGAATGTGGCCAATCTCATCTCGGAAGGGGAGCCGAGCCTGGACGGTGCTTGGACGGGGCGAACGCCACGCACAACACGTGTTATCGGTGAAGAGACAGACATTTTTTTGTCGCTCATACTTGCATTCGAGAAATTTTATGTAGGGCAGTGAGCACCGAAGCAAAACTCTCAAAGATGGGATTGCACGACAGTTCACGGTAGACCCTCGAGCCAGTCGAGAGGGTGTCGCTGCCACCAGCCTGTGTCGGTAACACTTTCGTTGGTGGTCATTTCTCCGTTATTGTTTTGATGACATTAGCGCAGGATGAATGTTTATGTCAGTGTTCTTTACTCAATTTTCAGAGGTGGGGTGGGGGGGGGAGGAGGGGAGCACTTTTGTCAATAAGACGTCAGCGTGAGAGGGCCGGCCACATTTAAAACCACTGGGTTTGACAGCAGCACGATGATGATGTTTTCACATTTGTGCATTGTCGAGGGGGGCCGCACACCAGGGGCTGCACTAAAAGGCCACCGGGGACCGCCAGTGGCCCAGGTTTACTTGAACAATGGCAAATGTTGTAAAAAATATCCCACATTCGAATTAATTCGTATGCAACAATGCAGGTTTCCACTCGGGGGCCTCTGGTCAGATTGTGCGTGGGGGCCAAGCGTGTGCTGATGATGGACCACCACTGTGGCTAGATGTTAACTACCTCGCCTGGTACGCAGGAGGTCGTGGGTTCGATCACGACCCTGACGCCTGCTGCTGTATATTTGGAGTCTGCGTGTCTCTCTCTCTCTCTCATCACCATCATCACGGTGGCTAGGAGATGTTAACTACCTAGCCTGGTACGCAGGAGGTCGTGGGTTTGATCCCGACCCTGACGCCTGCTGCTGTATATTTGGAGTTTGCGTGTCTCTCTCTCATCACCATCATCCCGGTGGCTAGGAGATGTTAACTACCTCGCCTGGTACGCAGGAGGTCGTGGGTTTGATCCCGACCCTGACGCCTGCTGCTGCTGTATATTTGGAGTTTGCGTGTCTCTCTCCCTGCGGTCGCGTGATTTTGTATCTGGGTCCTCCGGTTTCTCCCCCCACATTCAGAATCAACGTCAATCGTTTTGGAGTATTTGGCTGCTATACATGTCCATATGATGATAAGCCACTTCATATTCTTAGCTCTTTCGGTAAAGTCACGTTGAAGGGAAACAATAAGATATACATAATATGTATAATAAACAAATACACCGTTTAAAATAAATAAATGCAGACCGCCACTTGTTTCAAATGTTTCTTGCCGTTGGTTTTTCACACCTGATGACGACCGTTTGCGTTATGGTCGAAACGTCGTGAGAATTTTTATCGTTTTATATATATTTCATTATTTTATTGTTTCCCTTCAACGTGACTTTACCGAAAGAGCTGAGAATATGAATCACTGCAGTCACGAAAGCTTTAAATCAAAACATAAGCCGCTTCTCGTTGAGCTGTCACTTGCGATGGCCAGATCGCTTCTGAAAAAGACCTGAAACATCATCGCAGTGGGTCTTCCCCGTTTAAAAATTGTTTAGTTCAGAGAGGGGTTGCGGGCGGGGGGGGGGGGGGGAGGTGGGTCGGAGGGGTCGGGAGAGAGGAGGAGGGTGAGGGGGGTGGGTCGGGGTTTGGCGACCTGGGCGGCGATCGCTTGTGCCGTCTTCCTGTTGTCGCCCGTCATGAGCACCACCTGGAGGCCCATGTCGGCGAGCGTGCGGACGGCAAGCGCGGCCTCGGGCTTCACCGTGTCCGCGATGGCCAGCATGCCGCACAGCTTGCCTGAACACACGCGCGAGGCGCGGGGGGCGGGGGGGTGGCCACGGCCGACGACGAAATTTCAGGGTGCCCCCCCTAAAAACCCACAACTAAAAAAATGCAGGGTTGCTTTAAACAAAAATGTTCAACGCTTCGGAGAATTTGCGGAGATGATTGCAAGCGCACGTGCGTTGACAACGACGGAGAGCAAGTGGAGACTCTGACTTTTTCAAGCGAAAACATACATTCGTTATGCCGTGTTACAGTGTATTGTCCATTGTATTTTCCATTATAAACGATAGTCCCATGTAAGCGTTGACATTATTTTGAAGCACCCTGCACTCGCGCGACCATAAACCACGCAACTAATCACGTCCATAGTAACGTTTTTTTCTTTTACGGTTAGAGAGAAAGAGCGAATGGTCCTATGAGAACCTGTATAATTTCACAGAGAGAAATAGGCAGTTTGGGAAAACTCTCTCTGCTTGTGTGTCTGTCTGTGTGGTGCCTCCGTGTCTGCGTATCGTCTCTCTCTCAAATTTAGTTCTACCTGATGACGACTGCTTGTGTTGCAAACGAAAAGTCGTATTCCATTACTTTATTTCTACGTGACTTTACTGAAAGAACCAAAGAGTAATTCCTGCAGTCACGAAAGCTTCGAATCAACTCTCTACGCTCCGCCAGATCCAACATGAGAGGCACGCGGGCAAGCTTCAAGATCTGTCCTGACAAGTCTCCCACCGTCTGGCCTTAGGTCCTTCTCTCCCCTTGGTCGTCTGGACTCGCACTGTATAATAACATTCGGCGAGGGGTCTGCACAACCATCTACCGGGGCTTGAAATCGCGGCCCTGGATTGGAGCATACAGAAAGGCAGCACAGACATCGGCGTGGCAACGGAAAGAGGGCGTCTGAACGCGGCCGCCGAAGGGGGCGCTGGACTCGGATTGAGGGATCCCCCTTCACGAGCACATGTCAAACTAATTATAATCCGACAATCGCCCAAGCTCTGCAGCCCTATATATATGTCAATGTTTTCAGCCAATTAGCGAGCATATTGATGTGCGGGAGTAAAGCTGAGCACTTCGAGAAAACACACAGGTGCAAGAGAGTTGGGAACCCTCTATACCACACCGATGGGACATATCACATCGGTCCAAACTTTGCTTGAACCACCGTCTCTCATGGCCTGCCAGCGTGTGGACACCTCGACGCCCGTTGGAAGGGAGTTTCGCAACATTTTGTGCGATCCATCAATCCTCCCTGCTGCTGCTGCTGCCTCCGTAGTGCCGGAAGGTAGGCAGCCACGTGCAGCAACAGCGAAGCCGCCACCATCACCGCCCGGTGCCCACGTGTCCGTAAAGATGATGCAGTCTAAATCTCCTCCTCCTCCTCCACCACCCGCCACCACCACCCCTCCCCGTTCTACGTATGTAAGCAATAAATGTGTATAATCGACACATGTTTTGCATCTTCCATGTGTTTGTTTTATCCAGGCCACCCTCCCACCCATTGCCCCAGACAATTGGATAATTGAGAGGAGTTCATGGTATTTGTGTAAATCAATAGCCAGAGTGGGCAGAGACAGAACTGGGAAGAAATTAGACCTGGACTGGTCCAACTGAGTCGGAGTGCGAGGGGGGGTTGGCAGACACAAACACCCATTGAAGAAAATAATGTAAAGCAATAGATCAATATTATTTATCCATTTGTGACGCATATTCGCGGACCGTTACACAATTGTACGTATGTTTTTCTTCCCACGTAACGTTTGGGAGATCCAGAGCGTGCCGGACAGACAGTTGCGCATTACATAGATGGACTACCCGCCGCTATACTCGTCCGTGGTTCCTTCCGGAATTAATGCAGTCCGGGGTTCAAATTTCCCCTACCACCACCACGGAGTTACATGGTGGTGGGAGCGGTAATACAGGAGGTCTTGGGTTTGATCCCAAATTTTGCAGGTTCTCCCTGTGGTCGTGTGTTTTTTGTTCTCCGGGTCCTCTGTTATTCCCTCCACATTTAGAATCAACATCACACGTTTAGAGTATTTGGCCGCTATAGATTTCCAAACGATAAGCCACTTCGCTGAGCTACCATTTGTGATGGCCAGGTCGCCTCTGAAAAAGAGCTTCGAAACTCAGTCGGCCTTACCTGGTGAAATAAAAATGGTTTAGTTTCGTTACGGCTCCGGTTCCACCCCTGGGCATGGGTAGATGCGGCAGAGAGAGAGAACGGAGGCTCGTGGTGGAGCTGCTAACAGTGAGGTGCTGCTGGGCAGACTCCAGCTCGTTCGGAATTAAGCTGCTGGAGTCATTACGTGCACACCGTTTCACGAGCACATCATCACCATCATCACACCTGCGCTTTCGTCTCTGCACCGACGACTCTTCAAGTATCGGGTGGACTACAAGATCCTGCTGCTGGCCTACAAGCCTCCACATGTGTTAGCCCCACAATATGTGCAGGAACTTATCTATCTTTAACACTCTCCAACGAGGCCCCCGAGATCTTCAGATCGCCAAATCCTAAGTGTTTCCGAGATCAAGGCTCAATTCCTGGGCCGATCGGGCTTTTGCCAATGCAGCTTCCAGACTACGGAACAACGCTTTGCCTTTGGTAATCAAATTCGTTAAGAGTGGAAAAAAAAGTCTTTCCTGAAAACTCGCCTCTTTAAACTGCCCGTTACACCCCCCCCACCCACCGCCCCCCCCTCCCCATTGGTTCTGGCCGTGTACCCCTGCAGGTTCTCTTTATTTTCCTGGCTTTCCTTACACGGTGGTGACGCAATGGTGGTGGGCACTTCGGGTGAAATGCGCCACTTTACAATTGTCAATAATCATCATCACCACGATGACTCTGATTACCGTTGATGGCGACCAAGACGGCGGTCTGGCCCTTCTCCTCGTGCTCAGCCATGGCCTTGTCGACGGGCTCCGCGACCAGCAGCGCATTCCGGTTCATCCACTCGCGGTTTCCAATCAGAACCGCGTATTCTTGCCCCGAGGTTGCTGCTGGTCCAGCCCCCAAATCTGTTCCCGTGGACATGAAACAAGGAAAGTTTGGTGACGCGGCCGCGAGGTGGCTTTCCTCCCCCGCACCTCCGACTAACACGGTTGGTTGCATACGGTGCGCGATAGAGGTTCACCATACACACCTGTCACCCACGCACAGGTGCAACCTCCATCTCACCTTCGTCAGATCACAGCAGGGGAAGGCTACTCGCCAAGTGTGGGTGGTAACAATCGTGGCTCACAGCAAGACGGACCTGGGGTTCGATTCCCGACTAAGGTGCCGTTTATGCGTGGCGTTTGTATGTCCTCCCCCTGTTCTGCATGGATTTCCCTTTCCTCCCAAAACTCAAAACATAAAATGTCATTGATGTTGGCCAAACACACCCCAATGCAGGACTCCCCTGAAAGAGCCTTTGGACTTTCCTGCTGACATCCAACAGCGGCTGTGTCAATTATTGAATGCTCCCCCTGAAATAACCCACACACTTCCTCCAGCAGTATAAACAGAGACCGCAATAACTCGTGAGAAATAAGCAAGGCGACACCACGATGGTCATGTGCTTATCATAAAACCATCGGCATTGTAATTACAGAGCACACGCGCGATACTCTCGAATGATTAATCAGCCAGTGTGAAGCAAGTCTCAAACACCGACTACTTTTTGTGTTTAGTATGTTATACGTATACGTATGTATGCCGGATCTTCCTTCGCACCGCACGTAGACAACCGCGGGGAAAGGGCAACAAAGTAAACACAAAAAGCAGTTATCAATTAGTTTAAATCCAAATGATTTTAAAGTGCATAGCTCCGGTGCCTTCCTGACATCTGAAGAGCATTCCAGACAGCCGCAGAAGCGCATCTGAAAGCGCACAATACGGCGACCATCTTTGTTCGATGGCCGAGCCAAAAAGCCGCTGCTTTCGCGAGGGTGCCCGGCGTTCGCCGATGACCGTTTAACGCTCCTTGGCGAAATCGGCAAAGCGCCGTGCTTCACTTGTGGAAAGCGCTTTGTGCGTGCGTAACGAGCGAAACCTTGTAACGCACGCACCGGTGCTGGAGATGGCCTGGGAGCCCGCGGGTCCGCCGTCGGCGATGTCCACCAGCAGCGGAAAGCCGTCGGTCCTCGCCGCCGCCGCCGCCGCCGCCGAGTTGCCGGCGGCCAGGCCCTGCTTAGACGAGGCCAGCACGGCCTCCACGTCGGACACGCGGCAGCTGATCCCGCACCCAGGGATGGCCTGGAAGTCGGCGCACGATCCCAGGCTTTCGGTGCCGAGGCTCTGGACACAGTCGCGGACGCGGACACGGAGGAAGGAGTTTCGACGCTTGGACCGAGTAAGGTCGCCATCACGCGAGCGGCTCGTGCACCCGGAACAGCTTGCGAGCCCAGCTGCTGCCTTCAAACTGCCAGCGGTGGGGGGGGGGGGGGGGGGGGGGGGGGCTGATATTCTGCACGAGAGGGGTCCTCCCTCACCTGGGCGAGACGTTAACTAACAAAGCTTGGTATGGAGGAGATCGTGGGTTCGACCAAGACCCTAGCAATGCCTGCTGTGTATTTGAAGTTTGCATGTTCTCCTCGTGGTCACGTGGATTTTTGTTCGGGTCCTCCAGGTTTTCGCCTTCACATTTAGAACGGACATGCGTTTATAGAGTATTTGACTGCTATACATCTTCCACGTGATAAGCCACCTCTTTGGGCTATCAATTGTGATGACCAGGTTGGTTCTAAAAGAGCTGTATAGCTCAGTGGGCCTTACCTGGTAAAATAAAAAAGAGCTTAGTTTTAGTTTAACCTTTGATGGTGATAATAATTCCTATTAACACAGTCTTTTGCGACCAAAATAATCCATAATACAGGTTTTTTTGGGTTAGATTGCGTAATATATAATAATACATTTTATTTGTGAGCGCTTTTCTGAATACTCAAAGACACTTTACATAAAATCATAAAAGCAGCAAAAACAACATAAAATGGTAAAAACACTAAAAACACATCAAACTTAGCTAAACATGTGTCGTAAAAACCCGCCACCACCCGTCACAGCAAATTTAGTAAGGTTTGTTACGTAAACAGAACAAGCCAATTCAATAGTTTGATAGGTGCAATTAAACATGTTAAAGAAGCGCTGCAAGTTAATGGTTACAATGAGGTACAGATCATCAGGGCACTGAATACTCTTTGGTTCTTTCGGTAAAGTCACGTAGTTAGAAATAAATTTAAGTAAAACAAATCACGACGTTTCGATTGCAACACAACCATTATCAGGTGGGAAAAGCACAGCAAGAAAATAAAAAATAAATTCTACCCTTCTATTTAAGGAACAAAAGAGGAGGAATTCTCCACAAGTCTGGCTGTCGCCTGATGAAGCTAGTTGTAATTTCTGGTGAAACGTCGTACTCAGATTGTACATGTTGTGGCTTTGTTCTCCAACACACCGGTGTGATGTACTATACACTACACTATACACTACTATACACTACACTATACACTACACTATTATACTATACACTACACTACTACACTATACACTACACTACTAAACTATACACTACTACACACTACACTATACACTACACACTACTATACACTCACTACACTATACACGACTATACACTACACTATACAATACACACTACACTATACACTACTATACACTACACTATACAATACACACTACACTATATACTACACTATACACTACACTATACACTACACTATACACTAGTGCTGTACTAGTAACAAATTGGCCACCTTCTGTTTACGCGACAACCCTTACTAGTTGGCTGTGTCGGGTGGTGGCGGGTTTTAACGACACGTTTATTTACGTGAATTAATAAGAGACGTAGGCAATTACACACTTAACACAAGGCACATCTAAATACAACTAAAATAACAATTACTAAATATCTCCAATTTAATATAAAAAAAAAATCACTACTGCACAGTTTATAATACTAGGCATCACCAAGTCACCAAATGATTTGTAAGTGCATAGCTCCAAGTGGCTTCCTAATATCAGACGGAAAGAACGTTCCAGAACGGCCGCGGAAGAGCATCAAAAAGCGTGCCACATGGCGTCCGTCTTTGTCCGACGGCTGAGCGGAAAAGCCGCTGGCTGCGGGAGGATGACCGGAGTTCGTGTGATGGATGGTGTATGCTCCCTGATGTGATTAGCTAGGTGTCGCTGCAGCTCATTTGCGGTTGAGTGCTTTGCGCGCAAACTGTAACGACCTATTCTTTGGTTCTTTCGGTAAAAGTAACGTAGACAGAAAATAAAATAAAAATTAGAATTTTTTTTTTTTAAAAACAAGCGGTCGCCCGCGTGTGTTGCGATTGGAACGTGGTGAGTTTTTGGTTTTTTTATATTTTCATTTTTAATTCGTATTATTACTATTTTATTTCCTACCTACGTGACTTTACCGAAAGAACCAAAGAATATGAATTCCTGCCGTCACGAAAGTTTGAAGTCACTACAAATACCTGCCGACAGTACTTGGCGACGGCAGAGCCCAGCGGGTGCTCGCTGCTTGCCTCCGCTGTGCCCACCACCGCGAGGAACGTGCGGAGGGGCAGCTTCACGTGCTCCTCCAGGATGGACACGCGCATCACCTTCGGGATGCCATGCGTGATCGTGCCCGTCTTGTCAAACACCACCGTGCGCACCTGGCAGGCGTGAACGTGCAAGTCGATCGCCGATTATTCCGGCACGCGGCGATTGTCCCGGCTTCCAACACTTTCCGGCGGTCCCGTGCCGATCCGGTAAACCTCCATCGCAGCTGGTGGCGTTGGATTCAGACTCTGAATAACCACCCCCGATTCTACACCCTGCTATGCAAGGGTCTTCGAGGCTGTAGTGGTAAGTACGATGCAGTCAATACAGTAACTTTCACAGCAGGATATTTATTTATAATTGTGTATTCACTTATGCCGATTTCACGTAACAAAACGCATAAAAAAACACTAAACAGCCATATACACAACACCTAAAAACACATTATGCAAGAAGGTGCAAAAATAAGCTATTTTAAATCATTATTAGTGATTATCCAGCATTTTTGAAAATCCAGCACTGCCCCCCCCCCCCCCCCCCCCCGCAAGGCCGCCGGATAATCGATGATCTACTGTATGTACGTACAGGTATGTTGAATTCTCTCGCACTGTACGTAGCCAACCACGCTAATCGGCGGTGCGTGAACACGCGCTTAGGTGAGCGGCCCACACGCCGAAGGGTGTCCACCTGAACGTCCGACGCCAACGACGCTATAATGTGCATCCACGCCGACGCTTATCCACACATCTGGTCAATGGAACTGTCACAGTCGAATTGACCGTCTCTCTCTCGTTATAATAATAATAGCATACTTATCGCTACCCCCCCCCTCCACAAATGTTTTGTCAGCCAGACAGTGCTTCACGTGTTCTTTGGGTCTTTAGGCAAAGCCACGTAAGATGGGGTTCAAAGAAAATAACAAAAAAATAATTATTAAAAAAAAACTACGTTTCGATCGCAACGCAAGCGTTCATCATTCTTCCTGATGACGAACGCTTGTGTCGCGATCGAAACGTCGTAGTTTATTCATTCATTATTTTCTTTGAACCCATCTACGCGACTTTACCGAAAGACCCAAAAGAATATGAATTCCTGCAGTCACGAAAGCTTTAAGTAAAGTGCTTCACGTGTTACGCTGCTACATAAGTGGTAGCAGTGTTTGGCTGCTATGGGGGGGGGGGGGGCAAGGGCCCCCTGATTATATATTAATGTTAAAAGCCAGCAGCCAGGAAAAATATTGTCAATTGTTTATCCACGAGAGTCCCTGCCGTGTCTCGGCGCATCCTCTGCTGGGAGATGTCGGCAATTCCTTCCGGAGCAGAGTTTGCGATGTGGAAGGAAACACGAGCGCCTGGAGTACATTGACGATGTATACAGTGTGATACCACAATTCCAGATTTGGCCACTTGTGTATGGAGCTTTGTATGTTCTCCCCCTGTTCTGTGTGCGAGTTTTCTCAAAGTTCTCTGGATTGCTCACACAGGTAAAAAAATAATCACACAACGGAACTAGCATAGGGCCAGATGCGCTCCTGCGGCCGTCTGGAACGCTCTTCCTTCCGATATTAGGAAAGCCACGAGAGCTACGTACTCTTATATCGAGATTGAAAACGAATTTCTTTAAAACCACATTTTGCATTTAGTTTGTTATACGTATGCGTATGCATGCTGAACTTCTTTCGCGCCATTCGTAGGCAACCGTGCCCATCGCAGGTGTGGGGGAAGGACAACAGACCAAACACAAAAGGTGAGGAAGTCAACATCTCGCCACCGTGGCGCCTGCGGAACTCGCAGGGTGACCCGTGCGCACCTTGTGAGCCATCTCCAGGGGCTCGCCGCCTTTGATGAGGATGCCCAGCTGCGCTCCGACCCCCGTGCCGACCATGACGGCCGTGGGGGTGGCCAGGCCCAGCGAGCAGGGGCACGCGATGCACAGGACCGTGATGGCCGCCTGGAAGGCGAGGCGCCAGACCACCTCGCCGTGCGACAGCCTCGGATCGTACTCCTTCCGCGGGACAGCGCGCGGGGGGGGGGGGGGGGGTGGGCAGATGGGGACGGGGATGGGGGAGGCAGAGTCGCACGCATCAGGATGAACGATTAAACTAAAGCTACAAAAGCAATTATTTAGTCTACCAGGTCAGGCCCGCTGAGCTGTATAGCTCTTTTTTTCAGACGCGACCTCGCCACAAATGATAGCTCAAACGAAGCAGCTTAGCGAGTGGAAATTTATCGCAGCCAACTACTCTAAACGTCTTCTTTGGTTCTTTTGGTAAAGTCACGTAAAATGAGAATAAAATAATAAAATAACACAATAAAATTCTCACGACGTTTCGGCCACAACGCAAGCGGCCGTCTTCAGGTGAAAGGTACAGAACTGTTGGGACGACAGAGCTTAAGTGAGAATTTCATTGTGTTATTATTTTATTCTCATTCTACGTGACTTTACCGAAAGAACCAAAGACGATGAATCCTTGCAGTCACGAAAGCTTTAAATCTAAATTTACTCTAAACACGTGTGTTGATTCTAAATGCGGAGGAATACTCAACGCGACCACGGGGAGAACACGCAAACTCCAACTATACAGGTGTCAAGGTCGGGATCGAACCCATGACCTCCTGTATACCAGGCGAGGTAGTTAACATCTCGCCACAGTGGTGCCCCAAATATATTAAAAAAAAAAAACTTTAAAAAGCGTATCATAATATGCCTCCCAAAAAAACTTTTTTTTTTACAAAACCATCAGCCACATGGTGTAGATATTGTCAGCAATGTTGGTTCAACAAACCAGCGCCGGTTTTGACTCATCAGCAGAGTCAGGCTTTCTTTCACCAATCAATGCTGGTGAAATACCATATGTTAAAAGACAAGGACCCTCCGCTGGATATGGGTCCGAGAAAGTCACGTGGTGGATAGGATGCATCACAAAAAAAATGTATGTGGAGAGACAAATTCTGCAAGGAGACGTATATTGTCTGATTATTTAGTGACAGATATTCTTTCGGCTTACTATCAAAAAAATAAAACATACGTAACACACGAAAAGCGCCCTTCAATTTCAACACACGGGCAATTGGTGAATGGTCCGTGCAAAGGTGCGAAGATCATCGACAGTTTCAGGGGCAGACATTTATTGAGAAGGTGGGTGTTGGAAATTCAGGTAAGACACGCTCAGACCAGTATTCCGAGTCGTGGTTTGGTTCAGGATTGAATTAAAACATGGGTCTCGCTCAGGTTTCAGCCACTCGGTTGCTTCTAAAGATGTTCAAGCTTTGACTTGGGTCAGGGTCACGGAATTCTAAGTGTGGCTGGAACCACGCTCAAGAGCCAGCTCAAGTTTAGCGTGGCTGTGAATCGGAACTGTAATATTTATTTAAGACTGCAGGAAGAATCCTATGAGCTATGAAGCTCTTGATGCACACAGCGTTGGTGTACGGTGCTATTTCAGGAATATTTTGATGTTTTTTTTCCTGGATTTTCTGTTTGCACAGTCAACACATAGTCACTTTAAGATGTTTTCTTGTTCATGTTTTTTGTTTGTTGCGGTTGCACCCGATTCAAGAGCCGAATGGCTCACAGGGCTATACCAAATAAATGGAACTATCAACTATCACAGTGTGGGGTGGGGGTCAGCAAGTCACGACAGCAAACACGATACATAAAACATGGGAGTGCAAAATTTATAAAAAGGTAAGCAAGTCACTAAATATTAATAGATATTTTTCGATTTGAAGCATTCGTGACTGCAAGGATTCATCTTCTTTGGTTCTTTCGGTAAAGTCACGACGTTTCGGCCACAACGCAAGCGGCCGTCTTCAGGTGAAAGGTACAGAACTGTCGGGACGACAGAGCTGGGGGGCCAAAGAATTTTATTGTTATTTAATTATTTTATTCTCATTCTATATTAATAGATATGTAATAAAGCACTTGGACGACGATCTGTAGTTCGTGTCTTCTTTATTATTTATTCCCCGTCGGCCGGACACCTCCGCGTTCATCTTAACACCGACACCGCTCCGCTCTCGTTCCGCGCACAGCTCGCTCACGCTCCCCCCCCCCCCTGCTCCCGTGCGCCGCTGGCAGACGGCGCGCAAGGAGACAGCCTCCGGCTCGCCACGCGGCCGCTGGCGTGCCGGAGGCGCGAGACGCGGCCTCGCCTCTAGACTCCGCACGCTGACCCCGAGCTTCTTCCTGCTTCCCCCCGTATATCCCTTAACCTACGTCGCTAAGCCCCGCCTATAGCCACGCCCCCTCACGAACCCTCTGGACGGTTACCCACAAGAGCCCTTGAGCTCCGCCCTTCAACTTGGCGCATCCATCCAATTGGCCGACGGCTGAGGCGGCGGAGCCTATCTCACCGATCGGCGACCGTCGGTGAACCCTCGTATTTACAGATACACAAGCTTGGGCAAGGCAGCACAAAAACAAGAAAACAGTCCCAGACCACAGCAGGATAACGCCACAAAAGCCATTCATTCGTCACGCACAGTCAGTGAAGGAACGTTGCTGCGCCAAACGTGTGACCTCTTGCGGTGACAGCATTCGCATAAACTGCTCTTGGCTGCCACACACCGGCGTCTCGAGTGATTTGTTTGATCCACGGATCACGGTGGGGGCGGGGACGACGACGACTACGGGGACGTGTCCACAAAAGTGACAGCCGTCTATCCATTCTAGATTTGAAGCTTTCGTGACTGCAAGGATCCATACTCTTTGGTTCTTTTCGGTAAAGTCACGTAGGTAAAAAAATAAAACAACAAAAATCACGACGTTTCGGCCACAACACAAGCGGCCTTCATCAGGTGAAGGGATCAGGCTGTCTCGAGGACAGCCGTCTATCCCTCGAACTAATAACAACACGGTGGTGGTAGTAGCCCCTCAATAGAACGGCACACATGAACAGTGAGTGAGCCGTCGACACTACACGGGTCTGGATCAAAGGGCCCGGGCTCACCGGAGCCAGCGCCGAGCGGAGCAGGGCCGTGACAACAAACGTTAAACAGGGCCAGGGGGCCGGATGATTCCACACCGCTGCAGATTCCAACGCGGGGGGGGGGGGGGCAAACTCACCGGAAAGTATTTCTTAGCGATGCTGAAATCCACGTAGCCGATGGTGACCCAGGAGAGCAGGGTCACCACGGAAACGCCCACGATGAACGGCACAAAGTAGCCGCTGATCTTGTCGGCGAACTGCTGAATAGGTGCCTGCAGGGGAGGGACGACAGCGCGACTCCGTGTTGGCGGGCGATCGTCCCGCACCGTCATACGGGCCCCAATGGCCCTCTCTCGCCTTTCTCCAAGTTTGCGAGATGAAAACTTCTAAAGACCGAAACTATTTTTCTTATTTTACCAGTTAAGGCGCTGTGACTCTTTTCAGAAGCGACCTGGCCACAAATGATAGCGCAATGAAGTGGCTCATCACAAGGAAATACTCTTAAAATTCGTGTTGATTCTTAACGTGATGGGAAAAACCGGCAGATCCAGGAGAGAGAGAGAGACATGCAAACTCTAAATATACAGCAGGCGTCAGGGTTGGCATCGAACCCAGGACCTTCTGTATACCAGGCGAGGTAGTTAACATTTCGCCAGCACAGCACCCATGAAAGCTAGTCCCACCCGGGACTGCAGTGGGAGCTCGTGGTCACTAGCTGCCTGCACCATATTTTTTACTTTATTTCACACCATACGTAGCCCACCGCATTAAATCGGAGATGTGAGCAGCACTGTAATAATAATCATCGTCATTGTTGTGGTCCCACAGAAATAATAATAATAGATGTTTCGATTGATAGCCCTAGGAATGGGCCAGTGTAACATGCTAATGTACACTGGGGGGGGGGGGGGGGGGGGCTTACCGATGGCAGCGCGTGGCCACTAGCCTCACCTTGGAAGTCTGCGCCTCCTCCACCAGCCGCACAATTTGGGACAGCGTTGTGTCCGCTCCCACGTGAGTGGCCTTCACCAGCAGGCCGCCGTTCTGGTTGATGGAGCCAGCGATCACCAGGCTCCCCGGCTTTTTCATCACTGGCATCGCCTCACCTGCGAGCGACGCGGCAGAAATTACGGAAAGACATCAACCTACACCAACATATTCTTGGTCCTTTCGGTAAAGTCACGTCGAAGGGAATCAATAAAATAATACAAATATAAAACAATACAATTCTCACGACGTTTCGACTGCAACACAAGCAATCATCATCAGGAGTGAAAACCATAACAAACAAAAAAATTGAACTACAGAGCTCAGTGGGCCTTACCTGGCAAAAAATCATAACGGTAAAAAAAGTTTATTGCAATGTCGGTTCCCTCTCACCGGTGATGAGAGACTCGTCGGCGAGGGACTGCCCCTCGATGACCTTCCCGTCGACCGGGAACTTCCCTCCGGGCAGCACTCGCACCACGTCCCCCCGGTGCACCAGGTCCACGTCCACCTGCTCCTCTCTGCACAGCACAGAGGTCACCCAGCGCAGAGGTCACAGAGCGCAGAGGTCATCTCAAACTGTCAACCAGCCCATGTCTGTGTCCTCTCTTTGTTGGTATGGCTCTTCCTGTTGAAGCTGTTGCTGCACTTTTAAATCTAGATAAAAAAAAAATTCCGTGATTTTTTATTACAACAAAATGCAAGCCCAATTTAACAGGCCTAAAGGTTGCAATGACAGGGTACGAAATACGAATTTTGTTTAGAACTGCTTTTTGTGTTTAGTTTGTTGTCCTTCCCCCGCACCTCCGATTCACACGGTTGGCTACGTATGGTGCAAAAGAAGTCCAACATATGTACACACGTTGGGTCTGATGAAAGGCCACTGCTCAAAATTCCAGCCTGCTCTGTACTTTGTCCTGAGGCAGTGTAATGATTCATGTTCATGATTGCAACTTGCACTCAGCTGCTAACGCAAGTACCCTTTGCTGTCATGTTGAATTGCTAGTATAAAAAAATAATCGCACAGCTATCATCAGTTGTGAAGTGATAATCCGCTTTCTGGTGAAGCTTCAGAACCTCTTTTGTGAACAAGCTGTTCCTGTCTAAGCTGTTCCTGCTGAATCTGTTCTCTGTTTAAACTGTTCTTGTCTAAGCCGTTCCTGCTATTCCTGTCAAAGCTATTTGTTTTCACTCTTCCCTGTCCGAGGCGTTCCTCCTGTTCCGATTGCTCCTATCTATAGGCTGTTACTGTCTATGCTATTCCTAATAATAGTTTTTTTCCCCTTTTTTCTGGCAACAAAACTGAAACCTTTTTACGAGGAATCATGTTTACATTAACCACAATACTTGCGGTCAGAATGCAAACAAAAACACACTGATAATGTATGCATTGTCCTTGAAATTGATTGGTCCACGCCAGAGACAGCTTTCCTTAGAGCCTAGTCTCATACGGCGTTCGACCAGATGACGCCAAAAGGCGCACGCTATTCCTGTTTAAACTGCATGTGTTCGCTGTTCCTACTGTTCCTGTCGATGCTGTTCCTGCCGTTCGTGTCAAAGCTGTTCCCGTCTAAGCCAAGCGAGCACAGCGTCGACTCCCAGTCGTACCCGATGATGTCGTTACCGAGTCCGTACTTCACCACCGTGGCCTCTGCAGCCTGAAGGGACATCAGCTTGACGAGCGCCTCCGAGGTTTTGCTCTGAAAGGCAAACGCCGGTGAACGGCAAAATGCGGCGACGGTGAATCGACAGCGAGCTTACACAGCCCCCTTTCGCCATCATGCATCTCACGATTCTCGACAGTCTGAAGACAGTACACACGCCAAAATGACTGTGAGGGTTAAGTAAGTTCACGTTTAAAAAAATTTGGAAAAACGTGCATTTGAAACTGGGCGTATTGGAACGTCGGTGGCCTTTAAATCCCACATTGGCTTTGGGAGTGAGCTCAACAGGTTATGTCCATTTAAAACAGACGGGCGTTCAAAATAACCGCTTGAAAGGTTCACTTCAGGGCAGCCTCGGCAAACAATGATGCAGGCAAAACGAAAAAGTAACATGCGCTGAGCTGTGTCTTTGTAGAAACAGGGAAGGAGCAGTGTTAGTATCAGCTTATCCCCCCGCCCCCCGCCCCCCCGGCACCCCGAGCGTTTCCTTTTGGTAAGCACGCCTTCTGCCGTCGATCGTTCAGCCACCAGGGGAATAGAAATGACCTTAATATTCACGGAGGTGGTCCAACCGTGGCAGATCCCTACGTTTCTCAGTTTAAAAAAGGTGAGCGCAGGTCACGTTAAGCGGAGGACATCTCTATTTTTTCCCCCCACCGTTAATTTCACCCATCCTTGGCGTTAAGTTTCATATCCGGTTGCCGCTAAGACGGTAGCGCGGCAACTCTGAAGCGCGAACGCGGCACGGGAAGCCCCCCCCCCCCCCATTGGCTCACGGTGCTCACGTGACAATACTGACTTTGCCGTTGGCCACCGTGCCGGTTGGTTCAGCGCCGAGCTCCTGCCTCGGTTAAGGGCCTCTGCTACTGGGTGAGCCCGCGGAATCTTCAGGGAGACGACCGCTTGCGTTGCGATCGAAACGTCGTGGTCTTTTGTTATTTCCCTTGAACCTATTCATATTCTTAGCTCTTTCGGTAAAGTCACGTTGAAGGGGAACAATAAAATAATAAAATATATATAAAACAATAAAAATTCTCATGGTAGCCAGATGGCTTATCCACATAAACAAGCACAGAGACAATTTCAACCGAGAAGATGGATTCTGGCTTAGCAATCATTGGAAAGATTTGATAAACCATTTCAGGCCTTAATTGATTGTTCACGCTTACGGTGGCTTTCAGACAGCATACATTAATTTTTTCGTCTCCCCCCTCCTCTTTTCATGACATAGATGGACTCGTCCTTCTAAATAAACTGCCAAATCGTTGCGCGTGGCGCTGACGTTTTTTATAAATAAATACACCGTTTAAAAATAAATAAATTTATGCAAACCGACACACCTGATGACGACCGTTTGTGTTATGGTCGAAACGTCGTGAGAATTTTTATTGTTTTATATATATTTTATTATTTTATTGTTCCCCTTCAACATGACTTTACCGAAAGAGCTAAGAATATGAATTACTGCAGTCACGAAAGCTTCAAATCAAAATTTAAATCAAAAATTTCCCTTGAACCTATCGACGTGACTTTACCGAAAGACCCAAGAATATCAATTCCTGCGGTGCCGAAAGCTTTAGGTCAAGGCAAGCCTGCTCAAGGCTCCGCTCCCCGCGGCGTGCTCAAAGTTCCTTCTGGGGCGGCCTCACCTTGGCGATGTGCTCGAGCCAGCGGCCGAGCGACACGAACACGAAGAGCATGGGCGGCGTATCGAAGAACGTGATGGGGCTGACCATCGCCTGCTCCCCCATTGCCACGAAGAGAACCACGCAGGAGTAGGCGTACGCCACGGTGGTCGCCAGCACGATCAGCACGTCCATGTTGGCCGTGCCGTGACGCAGGGCCCCGTAGGCCTGCTTGTAGAAGTACCAGCCGCCGATGAACTGAGGGAGAAGGGAGACGGGCGCTAAGGGGGCCTGTGGTTGGGAATGAAGCCAGGAACGCCCCGCGGAATACCCCCGGAATGCCCCGGAATGCCGAAGCGGCAGCGGAAATGTGAACCCTGCGGCTGCGTTCAGGAAGGAATCAAGGATTCATCTCATTTCTTTATTTCTTCCTTCTCCCTAACTTTCCGCTGACGTGTAAGGTTTCCATACGGAAGTGTGAACTCTCGTGTGTTCTGACTGAACTGCCCCGGCCACGCCTCTTGTATCAGTCAGCCAATAGCAGGGCCACAGACATTGGTTTCATCACTACACAGTATATATACATATAAACTAAATATCAACTTCTTCTTTTGGTTAATTATTAAAAGGCCACAACAAATGAATCACCCCTAACACGTGGCTTCTCTCTATATGTGCCCTATAAAATAACACTATTATTTTAGGGGGGAGGGGGGTCACTCGACCCCTGGTAAAATAAATATTTTCGCGGCGCTGCGCCCGGCACATATGCGTTCCCCTAACGATGTCATCCCATTCTCAACCCTACGAATCGTTCAGGAGCCTGGGTTTTATGACGCTGTGCATGTTCACCCTTTCCCGTCCCGATGAGGCACGTTGTCGGTCATCAGCTCTTCCTCCCTGATTCCGATGTACCCGTACGTGTACATCATCAAAACGAACCAGGAAAGAAAAACTCAAACGAAGCAACTTTATCGGTGCCGAGGCTCCCACAAGGCCATGCGGGGAGAGGGCGTGTGGCACAGTCACTTGGCTATCGTCGAGCGCGGCGGTCGTTGTCGCTACGGTTCTCCGCGGTGAATAACGACGTCTTTAAAAACAAACGGGCGCTACTACGCCTCTCGAAATGAAGTTAACGCCGAGCCGCGTGCGCCGTTACGATGATTCGGCGGTGAACGAGACCCACCCACCCACCACCCTGCGACTCGCAGACCCCTTGAACGGGGTCGGGTTAGGTGGGCCGCGGAGTTCGCCCGCTTGGCGAAAGAGGATCCCCGGTTCGCGTGGAGCAGCCACCCCCATTCAATGGCTGCGGGCGTCTTAACGGTGGAAGTACGCAACCCGTCCGCTTCGGAGTCGACGTTAAAGATCCCGTGACGTCACTCGCAAGCGTTTGGGGGGGGGGGGCCATCGTGTGCCGCCGGAGTCACGGTCCAAATTTGAATCTACAGGTGGCAGCCGCCATCCGCCACTGCAAAAAAAATAACTTGGGCGGGGGACTTCCTGAAAACGAGTGAGGAATTCCTGGGTAAGCAAACGAAATAATAGTGATAGTAACGATAACGTGATCTGTGGATTTGATGTCGATACCTGCACTGGGGTGCACAACACGAAGGCAGCCAGGTTCATCAGAGAGAGCCCCGGCACGATGTGCTTGGCCAATATGCCGGTGTGGTGGCCCTCGTGGTGACGTTCTGTCACCATCATGTAAATCATCATCCCCATGGTAGGTACCACAATTATCAGGCTGAAGAAGAATGACCTTCGCCACCTGTATCACACACACACACACACACGAAAGATGGAGATGCCCTGTACAGTTAGGAACACACCCCAGGCCAGATTTGACGTTATCGTGACTGCAGGGATCCATACTCTTTGGTTCTTTCAGTAAAGTCACGTGGGTGTAAAAAAAAAAATCACGACGTTTCGGAAGCAACACAAGCTTCCGTCTTCAGGTGTGACAACCACAGTAAGAAACAAAATTACTGTAGTGGGCAAAGCGAGCTGTTTGTGAGTTGGGATTCCCGCTCGCAGCCAACATCAATGACAAATATCTGAAGCTGTCTCTGGGTAGACAGCCTTAACCGAGTACCCGGTGTGATGTGTAAACATTCGTACACGGGGAGACAATGGCGGCCTGGGGTGTACTCTTTGGTTCTTTCGATAAAGTCACGTAGGTGAAAAAATACAAGTAAGAATTTAAAAAATCACGGCGTTTCGGAAGCAACACAAGCCTCCGTCTTCAGGTGGGACAATCACGGTAAGAAACAAAATTACTGCAGTGGGCAAAGAGAGCTGTTTGTGACAAGCGATTATATAAGGTAAGAGGGGGTGGAGCTCTCTTTGCCCACTACAGTAATTTTGTTTCTCACCGTGGTTGTCCCACCTGATGACGGAGGCTTGTGTTGCTTCCGAAACGTCGTGATTTTTTTAAAAATTCTCATTTGTATTTTTTAACCTACGTGACTTTACCGAAAGAACCAAAGAGTACACCCCAGGCCGCCATTGTCTCCCCGTGTACGAATGTTTACACATCACACCGGGTACTCGGTTAAGGCCGTCTACCCAGAGACAGCCTCAGATATTTGTCATTGATGTTGGCTGCGAGCGGGAATCCCAACTCGGCCCGCGAGATTTGTAGCGCAGTGCGCCAACCACTGCACTACCGTACCCCACAAAGACAATGATTGCACCATATCGACTTTAAACAGATTGTCGGGGCAAGTGCTGCGATGAAAAAAGTAACACCTTTGAAGGCCGGCACGGCACACAAGGTGGGCCACCACCGTCTCCCAAGTGGCGACGTTCACACACTGCCCCAGGTACTCATTTGAGACCGAGTCGACCTAGGGGAGGCCCAGCACCGGGTTTCAGATGATCGCCAACGTTATTAGTTGTAAGCAGGAATCGAACTCGGGTCGCCGGATGTGCAGCACGGTGCGCTAATCGGAGGGAATTGAAGTAAGCATTTGGAGCTCTAACAAATCAAGCTCTTCAAATATAATTTTTTTTTTAAATACGTTATTCAGCAAAATACAAATCGGGGTCAACAAGGAGCTACCCTCTGCTCTCACCAAGTCTCTATGGAGCAACATTACACAAACCCATTTAAAAAAAAAAAAATCCGTGAAATAAATTGGAGAAAAAAAACATAGATCGCATTTAGCCATATCAGATTCCCCGACAACAGTCGCCATCGCAGTCAATGCATACAACGGGTGGAGCTGTGGCGCAGCGGTTAGCATGCTGCTCGCACAACCTGGCCACCCGAGTTTGATCCCTGCCCGCAGCTAAATATGCGAGGAGATTTTCACCAGTTTGTAACGTCAAAACCGCATAGCGTAGGCAATATGAGCGACATCAGTATCTCACTGGTGAATCTTGTCCGAGTGGTCGAGGTGGTTCCCAGTGCGGTCTCTCTTCAGGTGGACGGCGAGGAACCCGGCATTCTGTGAACAACACGATGGCGACGATCACGCCTGTGTTAGACATCCAACACAGGTCCATAATAAAGGTTTTTGGGTTAGATCGCGTTTATTTATAAATGTGTCGTAACCCTCCACCACCCGACACGGCCAATCAGCAAAAAAAAAGTGTCACGTTGACAAAAGACAAATAATTCACTACTTTAGCCCACCGGTGTGTTGAAGAGTGAATCCACAACATTTACAGTTTGAGTACGACGTTTCGCTGGTAAATACATCCAGCATCATCGGGCAATTCGCCAGAATGCCCGATGATGCTGGCCATTCTGGCGAATTGCCCGATGATGCTGGCGAATTGCTCGATGATGCTGGATGTATTTACCAGCGAAACGTCGTACTCAAACTGTAAATGTGGATTCACTCTTCAACACACCAGTGGGCTAAAGTAGTGAATTATTTGTCTTTTTGTCAACGTGCCACTTTTTTTTTTGCTGATTGGCCGTGTCGGGTGGTGGAGGGTTACGACACATTTATAAATAAACGCGATCTAACCCAAAAAACCTTTATTATGAATAATATTGGTCGCGAAAGCCTCCCACGTGTTAAACTATCCAACACAGGTGTTGTGCGGGGGGGGGGGGGGGGGGGGGAGGTGGGTTACTGGGAACGGGGTGGAGCAACGCGATATCGCGTCTCAGATTGAGCGCGTGCCGCCTAGCGAACACGCGTGCACCGCCCGGTTAGCGAGGCGCCCGAGTGCGGCGAAAACGCAGCGGCGACACCGAGCTGTGTGGCTTGCTTTCAGGAGCGACGTCGCCACAGATGATGGCTCCAACGAAGCGGCTTATCAAGCGGAAATTTATCGCGGCCAACTCCTCTAAACACGTGCGTTCATCCTAAAGGTGGAGGGAAAAACTGGAGGAGGACCTGGAGAAAAATCCACGCGCGCGCTCACAGGGGAGAAGGTGCAAACTCCAAATATGTAGGCATTAGGGGTCAGGATCAAACCCACGACCCCTCCTGCATACCAGGTGAGGTAGTTTCATCTCGTTACCGTGACTGATGCCATAACAACCCAAACTAAGGAGCACATAGCAAACCACTGCAGCCTGCGCTCCTAGTAAAACTACACAAAACTCTGATTTAAAGCTTTCGTGACTGCAGTAATTCATATTCTTAGCTCTTTCGGTAAAGTCACGTTGAAGGGAAACAATAAAATAATAAAATATATATAAAACAATAAAAATTCTCACGACGTTTCGACCATAACACAAACGGTCGCCATCAGGTGTGAAAAAACCAACGTCGCGAAAATGTTTTATTGTTTTATATATATATTATTATTTTATTGTTTCCCTTCAATGTGACTTTACCGAAAGAGCTAAGAATACACAAAACTCTTTCTCCTGAAGCCGTCATCGTGGCCAACAGACCTGGGACACCACTGGAATTTAGCTTCTGAACCACATTGCTGCCGTCACAGACAAGAAGAGAAAAGAAATGCCGTCTCCACTGTGCCGTGGAGCGGACCTCCACTGTGCGGTTTCCGTTCTTAAGCCGCACACACGAACGCATCGGAGGCCAATTCACTCCCAACACGAGGCTACTCCGCACCTCCGATTAGCGCTGGTGGCTACGTACGGTGCAAAATAAACTCATCACGAGGTGAGATCTTGCATGGAGCCCCAGGCCGAGGGAGATCGACAGTTCTTTTGTGCTTCTTCCGTTTGCGAATAATCGCACCAGCTGTTGTCACCTTCTCACCAAGCTGCTTGGCGATTGTCTTGTAGCCCATTCCAGCCTTGTGTAGGTCTACAATCTTGTCCCTGACATCCTTGGAGAGCTCTTTGGTCTTGGCCATGGTAGAGAGGGAGAGTTTGGAATCTGATTGATTGATTGCTTCTGTGGACAGGTGTCTTTTATACAGGTAACAAGCTGAGATTAGCACTACTCCCTTTAAGAGTGTGCTCCTAATCTCAGCTCGTTACCTGTATAAAAGACACCTGGGAGCCAGAAACTTTCTGATTGAGAGGGGGTCAAATACTTATTTCCCTAATTGAAATGCAAATAAATATATAACATTTTTGACATGCGTTTTTCTGGATTTTGTTGTTATTCTGTCTACCATTAAAATTATAGACTGATAATTTCTTTGTCAGTGGGCAAACGTACAAAATCAGCAGGGGATCAAATACTTTTTCCCCTCACTGCACGTGCGCACTCACCCGACAGCACTGCGGTAGTAACTGTGGCACGGAGCTGTGGCTTCTGTGAGTGATCGACAAACATTGCTCTCCCCCTATCTTTAGGATTCAGGACCAGGATGGAAATCCCTGACTGGGTTCCCCTAACTACTAAACATCGGCAACAGTGGCTACTCGTCCTGCAAAACTTGAAGAACATTTCGGCACACCTCACTCTACCTATGTAACAGGTACGTGTGTTGAACTTCTTTCGCACCGTACGTAGCCAACCGTGCTAATCGGAGGTGCAGTGTTGAGTCTATGGGGGAAGTGTTGAGTGGATGGGTAGTGTTGAGTCTATGGGCAGTGTTGAGTCTATGGGGAGTGTTAGTCTATGGGGGAAGTGTTGAGTCTATGGACAGTGTTGAGTCTATGGGTAGTGTTGAGTCTATGGGCAGTGTTGAGTCTATGGGCAGTGTTGAGTCTATGGGCAGTGTTGAGTCTATGGGCAGTGTTGAGTCTATGGGCAGTGTTAGTCTATGGGGGAAGTGTTGAGTCTATGGGTAGTGTTGAGTCTATGGGCAGTGTTGAGTCTATGGGCAGTGTTGAGTCTATGGGCAGTGTTGAGTCTATGGGCAGTGTTGAGTCTATGGGCAGTGTTGAGTCTACGGGGGGCAGTGTTGAGTCTACGTGGGGAAGTGTTGAGTGGATGGGTAGTGTTGAGTCTATGGGCAGTGTTGAGTCTATGAGGAGTGTTAGTCTATGGGGGAAGTGTTGAGTCTATGGGTAGTGTTGAGTCTATGGGCAGTGTTGAGTCTATGGGCAGTGTTGAGTCTATGGGCAGTGTTGAGTCTATGGGCAGTGTTGAGTCTATGGGCATTGCTGAGTCTACGGGTAGTGTTGAGTCTATGGGAAGTGTTAGTCTATGGGTAGTACGTACGTTGAGCTTCTTTCACACCGTACGTAGCCAACCGTGCTAATCGGAAGCGAGGGCGAAGGACATCGTCAGGTCTATTTATGCTACCTGGGGCTGTCCGCGGCACCGCCACTTCAGAGGTAGTTGTACCCACCCCTACTGGACATCTGTGAAAAAGAGCTTTGTAGCTCATTGGATTCCTGAAGTATGAATATATATTCTGATTCTGATACCACACAGCATTGCTGCCCGGGGCCACTGGAGTCAAGGGCTCTCGAAGCGATTATCGGGCCACGGAAAACTCTGCAGAAAAAGTTTCATACGCATATGTAAGCCACCCTCACGCACACGCAGACATGAAATCTCCGCAACTCAGTATAACACGCACCAATCACACGCACGGGAATACACTAGACGGGGGTCAAGGGTTAAAGGGCACTGACGTCACCCGGACCAAGGCGTGCTAGACCAGGAGGATGTATTGGGAACGAGGGCGGAGATTGAGGGTTTAGGAAGGGGCTGTGAGAGGCGTGTTCGGGGGGTTTTTGAAACGAGTGTGGCTGTGGGTTGAAGAATAAACCAGTGGTGGAAACCAGCCTCCGACTCCTCTTCACATATAAAAAAAAAGTTATATGCAGAAGAAGCGTTCTTTTTTTTCACATGATGAGCAAACAATTCTCAACGTTAAATAGCCGTCAAATAAGCGACTGCCATTTACGATTTTAAAACTGTCATCGTCGTTTCTTTTCCCCCCCCCCCCCCCCCCCCAAAATATATTACACACACATTGCCCTCGGTCAGCCCCCCCCCCCCCACCGCCTCCCCACCCCCATTTAAATGCTCATCTTTCCCCCGACGATGTCCTCAAATAATAATGCACGGCTCCGTTTGCGTCGGGACTGTTCTCCGCGAGTGACGACTCCCCGACTTGCGAGCCGCGCGTTGGGCTGTAGGGGGGGCTCGCGGTTTGTTGAATAATAAAATAAAATAAAAAAATTAATTCCAAGACACACTACACACAGCGAACACGTCGGCACGGCGCGGACAACGGGCTGACCTGGACGGCCTTGATGATGTCCCGCGGGCCGATCTGGTCGGGGTCGAACTCCACGTGCGCCCGGTTTGTGGCGAGCGCCACGGAGGCGCTCGTGACGCCGTGGCACTGCATGAGCGCCGACTCGATGGCGTGAGCGCACGACGCCGACCGCATGCCCTGGACCTGCCGGCGCCCCCGTGGCGGAGAGGCATGGCAGAGGTCAGAGGTCAGAGCGCCAATCACATGACCGCTCGGCACCGCCGTCGCTCCTGAATTTGTTAAGCAAAGACTTGAAACTTCGTGACGCTGTTATGTTACCGATTTGTCGGTTCAAGACCATCATCTGAGTGTAATTACCCACAGCTTTTTACACGCTTTAATTTAACTCAGTCTGTCTGTTGTTGTCATTGTTGTTGTAGCATCCTCAAATCTTGTAACTCAATTTTAACCCACTTCCCAATGTGGTCTGACACTTCAGTATGTCATACTGATGACAATACTATATTCTATCATAAAAAAAATATATATTTTTAAACAATATTTTTTATATGTTATGTTTCGGCTTGGATATAATTGTCCATGGTCAACTGACGTTGGCTGTAATTGCTCACGGTCCCCTTACGTTGTGGCAAGCTTCGGGGCCACTTCCTGGAGTCGTGGAGTTCTTCCATTACGAGTACATTTCATAAAAGCGTGTTTAAAAAAAAAAGGAATTTTTAAACGTATATTATTAGTTCGAGTCTCAAAACACTTTCTCAGGAGGGTCCTACCAAGTTTTTGGCAGTTTTCCCCCTCCACATTTAGAATCAACGTGCGCTTAGCGTATCTGGTATTTGGTTGCTATCAATGTCTACGTGATGAACAGCCACTTCACAGGGCTATCATTTGCGGCCAGATGGCTTCTGAAAAACAGCAATGTAGCTCGGTGGGCCTTACCTAATAAAATAAAATGTAGTTTATAGTTTTATGTAGATTGGAAGCTTTCGTGACTGCAGGAATCCATACTCTGGTTCTTTCGGTCAAGTCACGTAGGTAGAAAAATAAAATAAAAATATATCACGATCGCAACACAAGTGATCGTCCTCAGGCAGAAACAAAAAAAAAAAATCGCTTGTGTTGCGATCGAAACGTCGTGATATGTTATTTTCATTTTATTTTTCTACCTACGTGACTTTACCGAAAGAACCAAAGATAATAGTTTCATGTGGCTGTGTGTAATACCAATCGCGTAATTTGCAGTGTGATAGTTCAACGTTGGCATGTTCAGGCCAATACCAGTTCCATCATATGCTGTGTTTTTTTGTTAGCTATGCGAGGAAACTGGAGAACCCAGAGAGAACCGCACGCAGATTACGGGGAGAACATGGAACACACTGATGCCAAACACCTGCACGTAGCATGCACATACGTTGAACTTCTTTCGTGCCGTACGAAGCCAGCCGTGCTAATCGGAGGCAGCGCAGCAACTTCAGACCGCAAGGTTTGGGCGGCGTTGAACGTGGCGTGCAATAACCGAACCATTAACAACAAGGCAATGTGGGGGGGGGGGACACGGGCCAGCATTGTACACTCCCAACTTTAAAAACACAAACACCTTCGCTGACGTTCCGGTCTGCAAAAAAAAAAAATATCGGCAGCAAGAGGGGTTTTTTTTTTTTGGCCAGTGTGCTTTTGTTTTCTGCCACGGCCCGGGACGCTCACCACGAGCTCCAGGCAGCCCGGCGCGATGTCCTGGTCATCGAGGAGCGTCGCCCCAAAGCCCATGTCTCGCACGCTCTCCGCGATCTCCTCCGGCGCCACGGAGGCCGGGTGGTAGCGCACCTCCGCCTTGCCGGCCATGAGCGACACCAGCACCGACTGAACACCTGCCGGGGGGTGGGGTGAACGTACGCATGTACGTATGTACAGTCTGTTTCTCCAAAAAACGCGGTAGGTGGTAAGTCGCGTTCCTGAAGAACGGTACAAGGGGTATAAGCGCGGTCCGCGATAACACGTGAGGTGCGTACGCAGGCTGAACGAAGATGGAGGCGCGTGTTTAGCATCTAGAAGCATCCAGCAGCATCCCGCCTTGTGCAAATGTTACGCCGAGGTAGCCGCACGACCGTTTATTCACACTCGCGCGACGTAGTTCTGTTCACTCGATCGCGCTACATCCAATTCGTATCCGCGTTATGAAAATATAACGCGAAGCAGACTGTATGTTGAACTTTCGCACCGTACGTAGCCAACCAATCGGAGGCGCGTGGTGAGATCGCAACCCGCTGGACGTGCTGACAACACATTCGGAAGCGAATACGTTACGCGACAGGCCATTCTTAACTCGTACAGCGTATTATATCGCTTGTCTGCTATTTGCGTCTTTACTTTGTTTGGATTTGATCATTTTGGTGACCCAGGGCACTCTTGCAAATGAGACTCCTCACTTGGCTTCTTGAGTTCTCACCTCCTGGTTAAACAAATAAAGCTGATACCCAATAAACCTGGGCTACTTGCAGCGCACTGCAATTAAAGCCTAACAGAGGTTTACTGGGTACATTTCTTAATGGGCACTAGTTTTCGTGCTTCCGGCGAGAGCGGGGTGCGTTTGGAGCACAGTGGCCAGAAAAAAACACTCGCGCGCCTCGGAATAACACTTAAAGGTCACGCAGACGGGCGTGGCAGCCCACCTCCAACTGTACTTCCCCTACAAAGCTCTCCCGTGTAGCCTTAACAGACCGTTGTGGCAATGGCCACTAGCGAGCACCCGTGAAGGCCATTACGGAACGCGGGGGGGCGGCTGGGGGGGGGGCAGCGTCACGCACGCCCTTCCGCCTTCCCCGCGGCAAATTTCCACGCGACTATAAGCCACTTCATATTCTTAGTTTTTTCGGTAAAGTCACGTTGAAGAGAAACAACAAAATAATAAAACAATAAAAAATTCTCACGACGTTTCGACCATAACTCAAACGGTCATCTTCAGGTGTGTTGGTTTGCATAAATTTATTTTTAAACGGCGCATTTTTAAATAAAATATAAAAATAAATTTATGCAAACCAACACACCTGAAGATGACCGTTTGAGTTATGGTCGAAACGTCGTGAGAATTTTTTTATTGTTTTATATATATTTTATAATTTTGTTGTTTCTCTTCAACGTGACTTTACCGAAAAAACTAAGAATATGAATTACTGCAGTCACGAAAGCTTTAAATCAAAATTTATAAGCCACTTCGTCGGGATATCATTTGCGATAGCCAGGAGGCTACTGCAAACGAGAGCTGCATGGCTGGGTGGGCCTTACTCGCTAAAATACTAAAAAATAATCTTGATTTGATGCTTTCGTGACTGCAGGAATCCACACTCTTTGGTTCTTTCGGTAAAGTCACGTGGGTAGAAATAAAAACAAAATCACGACGTTTCGATTGCAACACAAGCAATCATCATCAGGTGGGGAGACCACAGCAAGAACATTTTTTTCGTTTCAGCAAAATTTTTTTTCTTGCTGTGGGCTTTCCCACCTGATGATGATTGCCTGCCTGTGTTGCAAGCGAAACGCCGTGATTTGTTTTTACTTCTAACTACGTGACTTTACCGAAAGAACCAAAGAACGTACGAAAAATAGTCACGTTTTTTTTAGTTTAGACTGCATGCCCCCGAGCAGACGGGAGGATTGGGGGGGGGGGGAGAGAAGCCCTTACCGCGCCTTCTGCCGAGCACGCGCTCGATGTTTGCCACGCACGAGGCGCAAGTCATGCCCGTGACCATCAGGAAGCACTTGGCCTCCTCTTCCTTCGCCGATGCCACCGCTGCCTCTTCCTCGGTGGGCACGAGCTGCATGGACCCCTTGCCGCCGCTGGTGGTGGGCGCGTGCCAGCCCGGCCTGCTGCCGTTGAGCGAGGGAGTAGCCGAGCCCTCCAGTAGAAACTGCGCGTGGTTTGCCCGTGACTTGGCATCGCTGCCATCTGTGAAGACGGGCGGACGGCGTTCGCAATTGCAGCATTCCTGTCCTGTCGCGTTTCTTTTTTTGGTATTTTTTTCCTTGTTGTAACCTTCTGACCTCATGTGCCCCTACTGGACATCTGTGCAACAACAACAACAAAAAAAAGCTTCCCCGGCTCATCGGATTTCTCCAGTAGCTATAAAATAATCCCGATTCTGACTCTAGGGTCCACAAGTTTGGGTTCCATGGTCACGATCGCACTACTGTGGCTTGTCTTTTATGTATCTCCTTGAGTCTCTACGTATCTCCACTGGTTCACAGTTATCTGCACGAGTCTCTATGCGTCTCTCCGGGTTTACAAAATGGTCCAGGGGTTTGGCAGGTGACACGTGAATTCAATGGGAACTCAATGTTCACTCACGTTTTGATAATAATAATAATAATTTAAATGTATACAGCGCCCTTGAACATTCGTGCTCAGGGCGCTAGCCAGAGCTGACCCGACAACCCTGACATCAGATTCCCATCGCCGCGCACTCTCGTGCTGCCAAAGCGCAATCATGCTAACCCCGCTGCTCAGGGCGCTAGCCAGAGCTGACCCGACAACCCTGACATCAGATTCCCATCGCCGCGCACTCTCGTGCTGCCAAAGCGCACTCATGCTAACCCCGCTGGTCCACAAAGGCATCGCACGACCGCACGTCCAAGGCCAAAGTTCAAGTTGCTCGCTCGGACGCGGAAGCCTTTGATTATTGTCGCAAAACAATCGACAATGGCCCGCTTCCCTTCGAGGTACGCGCCGGCGCTGCGTTGATGACCATCACGACCATAATGAGTTTCACGAGTTTCGGCCGGACTGCTCGTTGACGCAACGTGCGTCATTGCTCGCCTATTCCCACGGTCGCCACTTGCAAAAGACAACCGCGTCGCTGCCACGTGGCGGGGGTGGGGGCGATGCATGAGGAACGTACATCTGCGCATCAGGATCCGATGATGGAATGCACATCTTCTAAATTTGAATTTGTATAATGTGTGTTATCTCCCCCCCACCACCCCCTCCTCCCTTTTTGTGGTCATGACTCATGCCAGGCTCTTGCTATGTTGAACAAAGATTAAGAATAACACAGGAGGTGTTAAAGATGTCCAAACACAAAATAGAAACCTTTTTCAAGGAAATAAAGTCTGTATTAACCACACGTACTTGTGATGAACATGTAAAAACAAACACGCTCAGATTTTATATATATGCATTGCTTTTGAAACTGATTGGCCTACACCAGATACAGCCTTCATTAGGGCCCTCCTCTCAGCAGTGTCAGACCAGAGAACGCCAAAAGGCGAACACAGGACAAGGGCAATGCCACTATCAGGGCATTTTTAGCTCGGGGTGAGCAGCTACAAATTGGGACCCTTTTTGCCGGCATCTTGCTATGTTAAATTTCGATTTAAAGCTGTCGCGACTGCAGGAATTCATCTTCTTGGTTCTTTCGGTAAAGTCACGTAGAAGGGAAATAATAAAACAATAAAAAAAAAGAAATCGTAACAAAATAAAAAAAATGTTTCTATTTCCCTCCTACGTGACTTTACCGATAGAGCCAAGAAGACCTTGCTACGTTGCTTCAAGCACACCGCTCGCGGGCGACACTCGGTGGGGGCAGCAGCGAGCCCAACTCTCCACCCCCTCCTCGAAAACCAGGCGCAGCACAGGGATCCAGGACTGAGGTGCACGGAGTTTCTGTTCCACCTCACTACGTCGCGGTTTGTGCTCCGTCCCGGGCACCTATTGAAATATTATGATTTATTTTTTTCAAATAACCAATATCTTTCGATTTAAAGCTTTCGTGACTGCAATGATTCATCTTCTTTGGTTCTTTCGGTAAAGTCACGTAGAATGATAATAAAATAATAAATTGATAAAATAAAATAACACAATAATATTCTCACGACGTTTCGGCCACAACACAAGCGGCCTTCATCAGGTGAAGGCTTAAAGGCCGTATCTAAACATGGCTCTTTCACTCCAGCGCTGTCCTACCAGACAGTCTCGCCCCCTTCACCTGATGAAGGCCGCTTGTGTTGTGGCCGAAACGTCGTGAGAATATTATTGTGTTATTTTATTTTATCAATTTATTATTTTATTCTCATTCTACGTGACTTTACCGAAAGAACCAAAGAAGATGAACCAATATCTTATCTAGATACTGTATATACAGCGGCCTTATTCCAAGACGCTTTACAGAAATTATGAAAGAAAGGGTAGGCCTGGTCATCGCTGGGAGGGCGTGGGCAGGGAGTAGCAGCAGCAGCAGCAGGATGGGCTAGGGAGAACAGATAGGTTTTAGCTAGAAATAACTCGTACGCTGAGCGGACTTTTTACCCAGCGTTTCATCGTGAACAAACAAAAAAACCTGGGGCGTATGGGATTGAAAAAGAGTGCTAAGGCATGGTGGCGTCCGTGAATTAACAATCAAAATGCATTCGTAGGAAGCGGAGAGGGGTGGGGGGTGGGGGGGGGAGTGGGGGGGTGGTCACAGGATGTAGAGGAGGCGGCTTCACCGACCGAGCAGGGAAGCCTTGAAGCCCTTGCTGGTGACGCTGGCGCAGAGCGCGGCGGGGCTGGCGCCGCGGGGGTCATAGTGCACGGTGGCGGTGCCGTCGACGAGCGAGGCGCGCGCCGTTTTCACGCCGGGGCACTCCAGCAGGGCGCGCTCCACGGCGAGGACGCCAGCGGAGCTCTCCATGCGCTCCACGCGCAGCACCACGACGCTGCTCAGCGGGGGAGGAGGGGTGGAAGCCACCGCCTTCGCCGACGTTGGCGAAACGCTCGCTTGCGGGGGGGTGGGAAGGAAAAACGTTTCCGATGCGGTGACGATCCCCACACGTGCCGGGTTGGCGAATGCGTGCGGCACTCTCGCGCCCGTCCCCTTCCGCCGGCGTTGGAACCCTTTCCCGTTCCGATGACGTACGTAACTTAGGAGATCGGTTTTTTTTTTCTTTCCCTCCCGATTCCTCCGTTCCGATGACGTACGTGCACATCGTTGAAACAAAAGCGGAAGAAAAAAAATGGAAGAACTTTTTTTTTATCAGTAACCGAGCTTCCCACAGGACCATGTGTTTTGGTGCCAGCTATCCTAGAATGCGGTCGTATCGCTACGGTTCTCTGGGGGCAAGTAGAATGTCTTAAAAACAACGGCGCCACGCTTCTCCCAATAAAATGAACGCTGAACCTGCTTGCGCGTTCCCAGATTCGACGGTCAACGGTACACACCTACCCTGTCATTTGAAGACGTCTCGGAGCGGGAAAGGGTTTTAAAGAAGTCTGTGGTCGGCGGCCGGCAAAGCCAAGCACGCCAAGTGGTGCCCTACCCTCGCATAGACGACAAAGAACCACGCCGTGTATCGCCTTTAACAGATTTCTCGTGCAAGTGCTGTGAGCGAGCACCTATGAAGGTCCGTGGCACGGCACACGAGGGGGACTTGGGCCCCCTTTGTCCCCCCCCAGTGCTGACGTTTACACACCACACCGGAGACTAATTTAAGGCCGAGTTGACCTTGGGGAGGCCCAGGACCGGTTCATGTATTCACAAACCGGTGTTGACCATGAGCGGGAATCGAACTCGGAACGCCAGGTTCGTAGGGTAGAGCGCCAACCGCTACACTACTGCTCGCCACCGTGCGGCATTCTCATACAGCACGAATTACACACACGCTCAACAAACTAAACATGTTTGTCAATAATAACCGTGGCCTTAAAAGCAAACGTATATAACTGGCGACGTTTTGGGCAGAGGCTCTGCTACATAGTACGCAAAACAGAGGCCAGAGAGATTTACGTACGAATGTTGAACCTCTTTTGCACCGTACGTAGCCGACCGTGTCAATCGGAGGTGCGGGAGAAGGACAATAAATGAAACGCAAAAAGCAGTGCTAAAGAAACGAGTTTTTTCCATCAAAGATTTAAAAGTGCATATAGCTCCAGTGGCTTCCGGAAGGAAGAGTGTTCCAGATGGCCCGCAGAAGCGCACATACAAGCGCACATTGAAGTGACCGTCTTTGTTCCATTATGAGCTCCGCTGCGAGGTTGACCGGAGTTTGCGTGAGTGAATAATACGAGTAGGAGACTGGACTTGTTCACACCACAGGGCCCTGATGAGAAAATTACATTTAATAAAATGTCTTCTGGTGACCAGATTTGAAATCGGAATATGAATGGCAACGCGAATAGTCGCGATTGAGTAACAGACATGTCCCTGAATAAATCAGAGCGTTACTAATTAAAACTCATTCACATTAAAAGTAGAAATATAAAATGTTGCTGGCACATGTCATTGTGGGGAGGCACAATCCATTTATCGCCACAGCACACCATTTGAACAAAAAAATAAATGTAAGTGCCCTACATTAGCGCACCGCCACACCTGAGAAGAACTGCCCAGTTTAACACGTAGGCTTTCGCGACCAAAACTATTCATAATAAGCACTTTTGAAGAGTGAATCCACACCATTACAATCTGAGCACTTTTGAAGAGTGAATCCACAACATTACAATTTGAGCACTTTTGAAGAGTGATTCCACAACATTACAATCTGAGCACTTTTGAAGAGTGAATCCACAACATTACAATCTGAGCACTTTTGAAGAGTGAATCCACAAGATTTACAATCTAAAGACTTTTGAAGAGTGAATCCACAACATTACAATCTGAGCACTTTTGAAGAGTGATTCCACAACATTACAATCTGAGCACTTTTGAAGAGTGAATCCACAACATTACAATCTGAGCACTTTTGAAGAGTGAATCCACAACATTACAATCTGAGCACTTTTGAAGAGTGAATCCACAACATTGCAATCTGAGCACTTTTGAAGAGTGAATCCACAACATTACAATCTGAGCACTTTTGAAGAGTGAATCCACAACATTACAATCTGAGCACTTTTGAAGAGTGAATCCACAAGATTTACAATCTAAAGACTTTTGAAGAGTGAATCCACAACATGACAATCTGAGTACTCAAATTGTAAATCTTGTGGATTCACTCTTCAAACACACCGGTGGGCTGAAGTAGTAACTGTTTGGCGTTTTCTTTACGTGACAAATCCCTTACTGATTGGCCGTGTCGGGTGGTGGAGGGTTTCGACACATTTATAATTACGTAATCTAACCCAACAACCTTTATTATTAAGCACTTGCCCAGTTTTACCTTGAAAGATGCCGGGTGGAAGTGCCTCGATGGCCTGGCACAGAGCCGCGGGGGAGATGTCCTCCGGGCTGTAGCTCACCGCAGCCGACTTTGTCTCGAGAGAAACCACGATGCTGTGCACTCCGGGCAACTGGCCGATGTTGCTTTCGATGTTAAAGACGCACGACTTGCAGTGCATCCCCTCGACGCTTATGACGACGTTCGGACACTTCCCTAGGCCTAGCGACGTTGGCTTGGCTTCTTTAAAATGGCACACAGAGCCGTTCATCTCCTGCAGTTTCTGCACGGCCTGCGGCGACAACCTCAGCTGCTTCGGACGCGACCTCACGGTGGTTTGCAAACCACATTCGGCGATCTGGTTTTGGATGTCGTCGACGCTGATGGCGAGCTTCTGGAACCACACGACCACCTCCTGGCTGGACAGGTTAACCTTCACGCGCAGGACACCATTCAACTTGCTCAACTTCCCCTCCAGTGCATTCACCGCGGATTGCCCAATCAATCCTTCGAGTCTCATTTTCACCATATCCTCGGTTGATCTGCCCTCTTCCGCGGTGTCCGTGGCAGGCTTCCGATCGACGGGGCGCGCCTCGAATCCCATGTCGTCGATTTCGTCGCACAGCTTCTGCATGCTTATGACCCCCGGAATGAATGCGACCGTGGCATTGTTTTTCTGCAAGCACACGCTGAAGCTCAGCACTCCCTTGAGCTTTGACATTTTCCCCTCTATGCTCTGCACACACGACTGACAGGTCATGCCCACAATGTCAATGTCGGCGACTTCCAGCATCATGACGGTGACTGCTCCCCTGTGAGCTGCCTCGAAGCCAATGTCCTCAATGCTGTTTTTCAGAGAGTTCGGGGTATGAAGTGCCGGGTCGTACAGAACTGAAGCGCTCTTATTCTCCAAAGACACCTGCGGAGAGAATGATTAGATTCATTAGATGTCTACAAGCTTACAAACATTCCACACCTCCATTGAGCACGGTTTGGCTACGTACAGTGCCAACGAAGTTCAACATACATTTTCTTAATTAAAATTTTTTTTTAGTTTACCAGGTAAGGCCCACTGAGCTGTATAGTTCTTTTTCAGAAGCGGCCTGGCCACAAATGATAGCGATTCGAGATGCGCTTTGCATTTATGATAAAACATTTTAAATGACATAAGTAACAAATAATAACGCAGTAGCAATTGTCATCGCTCATCACAATCACATTTCTCTTCATATATCGTACGATAAGCAAATGTCGATGGGCATGTTTTATAAACTTATAATGCAGGCAAAATGTAGCCATTATGACAAAAAAATAATATTGTGCACACCAAACCATGCATTTAATATACAAATTAAACTTACGGTGAAAATACACATTCGACCCTTCTACAATTGCGCACTCGTTATAAGCTCGGTTATAAGAGGTCCGCGTATATAAACGCGCTGACTTACTAAATAAATATATTTTCAAAAAATTAACCTCCCGACAGCTCTCCCATGTCCAGGTGTCCTCAATTACGAACGGACGGAATTGCGTCTGTTCACTTAAATTCATTTAAATTCTGACGCAGTGGGTAAAAAAAAATCGTCTCCGCATTCGAAATTGAATCTCAGTGGCCTTCTGGCACGGCACGGCTGGCAGCATCAGGATGGAGGGACACGCGCCCCCTCCGACCTGGCCATGTGTTCTCGCCACTGCGGCGCCCCAGGGTGGCTAGGAGATGTTAACTACCTCGACTGGTATACAGGAGGTCTCGGGTTCAATCCCGACCCCGACGACTCCTGCTGTATATTTGGAGTTTGCGTGTCTCTCTCTCTTTCTCCTCGTGGTGGTGTGGACTTTTCTCCAGGTCCTCCGGTTTTCCCCTCCACATTTAGAATCAACGTGCATTTAGAGTATTTGGCTGCTATACATTTCCAAATGACAAGCGAACTTCGTTGAGCTACCGTTTGTGGCCAGGTCGCTTCTGAAAAAGAGTCTCAGGACCCAAGCATTGAAAGGTTTACGAAGGTTTCGTAAGCTGTTCAAGATGCTATTGCCTGTTACAAGTTGATTTATGAAGTAGAGAGCAACTGTGCAGACATCTCCTGGTAAGTTTTTCAAGAGTGTAGAGAGGAAACACAAGCACCGAAGGGAATTAGCATCTACATCTGCACAACATAAAGAACCAGCGACATCTACATCTGCACAACATAAGGAACCAGTGGCATCTACATCTGCAGAACACGATGAACTAGTGGCATCTAAATCTACAGGAGATTATACAACTTTTAAATCCATTCCCCGTCTTTGGAATCGATGGGAGTAAAGTTGAACTTATGAACGCATCTACTTACAAACGGACCTCTAGAACTTAACCCGTTTTGTAAGTAGAGGAGTTCCTGTACTTCACATACTAGTGTCAAATGATCAAATTGATAGTTAAATTAGTTTAACACGTAGCATGCTTTCGCGACCAATATTATTCATAATAAACGTTTTTGGGTTAGATCGCATTATTTATAAATGTGTCGTAACCCTCCACCACTCGACACGGCCAATCAGTAAAAAAGTGTCACGTTGACAAAAGACAAAATAGTCCACTACTTTAGCCCACCGGTGTGTTGAAGAGTGAATCCACAACATAAAAAAATAAATTTAAAATGATGAGTCAGGAGTGTCAGGTGAGTGTGAACGTTTGGTGAGTGACCAGCATTATCTGGTGAGTGCGAGTCTCTTGATTAGTGAGCACCTGGTGAGCGTGTGTCTGGTGTCTCGTGTGAATCTGTGTTAGTGGTGAGTACTCTGGTGAGAGCCTAAGGCAGGGGTGGGGAACCTTTTTTTCTGCGGGCCATACAAAATTATCAACTTAAAAAATTACCCTGTTATATTTGGTCAAACATGTAATTAGCTCACCCCTAATGCGATGGGGCTGGAACCGCTTCTCTTTGGCGAGGCGTGGTGACGATGTTAGCCGGTGTTGACGATGTTTGCCGCTACTCGCAAACTGCTTCTCCAGGTTTTTGCTCTCCTAGATTTGTTGAGTTTCGAGTCCCGCCTGCGGTTGCCTTGGCAGGGCCAGAGATTAAATTATTTTGCGGGCCTTATACGGCCCGCGGGCCGGACGTTCCCCACCCCTGGCCTATTCTATTCATATCAGGTTCCATTAGGACTCATTATTTGGTTTGATGAACTTACCTATAGCCTCGCATACATGGACACATTGTTATTATATTTGTTCATCCTCAAAAGCCTCAGCGAGTCTCAAGATTGTTTCGAGGAGAGTCCTGCCACGTTTTCAGTCGGGTGGTGACACCGCTGTGAGTAATTGGCAGTGGATTGTTCACAATTTAGATTTTGTTGTTGTTGTTTCATTTTGGACCAGTACCAGCTCCATTGTACGTTTGACCTTCAGCTTACGGGGAAGAAACCGAAGAAGCTGGAGGACACTCGTGAGCGAGCCAGTGAGCGAGCACTTACTCGCGAGCCAGGCCTTGCTCACTCGCACGGCACTGCTCAAAGAAGGGCCTCAATTAGCCCGAGAGGGAAGGGGGGGGGGTGTGTTTGATCTAAACTCCTGCGCGCTGAATCGAGGGGCCGAAAGGCGGAGGCAATTTCTGCGCGTGCCGCAAAACCGGTAACCGTTTTTTGTTGTTGACGTTTCACGCGGTTACGGGCGATGCCGCCCAACCCAAATTTTTACCAACCCCCCCCCCTACAACGGTACGCGTGTGCCAAATGGGAGGCCTCGTGACATGGAAGCGCAGGACGCTACGTGGAAAATACACAGCAGGTCATCATGTTTTCGCGTCACTTGCAAAACGTCGCGGGAACGTTTGGATACAAGTTACCACCCTCCCCCCCCAACCTTTGTATGTGTGGTGTGTGGGTGTTGCTCCACTGACTTCTATTATACGAGCAGTACGCAAAAGTCCAACCGACTGTTGCCCAAGAGGCCGCGCTTTACTATTTACACAAGCACTTTCCTTTTAAAAAATTACCTCTGTCGGCGGCCAGGCAATTGTTTCCAATTTCACGCGGGGGGGGGGGGAGGTCTCCTAAAGCATTTACTACTTTGCACATGCAAAGGAAAGGGCTAATTCTTTTGGTTTATTTCCACATTTGACGGATGTTTAAACCGATTTAGAGGAAAACTTGTTTTAAAATGTGAAAATATTTCGAGTCGTTGGGATTTGGTTTTATTAGTAAAATATGAAGTCAAACAAATAATTGGGCACACATATCAAAACGAAAGTACATTTCGTCCCAAATCTAAGAATTCAATAATTTGTAGTGAATAGGTGTAAGTAATTACTTCACTGGAATAAACATATCCCAAAGTTATTGCACTGGAATACAAATATATTAATGATGGTCATCGCGCAGATTTCGTGCAGTGAATCTCCGGCACAGATTGGTCAATAAATCGTGACGAACGTCAATAAAAACACATTTTGTGTAAAAACCTTACCCGACATCGGTGACAACAAGCCATCATTTTACAAACTCGCTCTTTACACACAAGCGTGCGTACGCGCGCAAGTTGGTCGCCATGAAAAACTTAACAAAAAAAACACCACACACACACATGCCATGCAGGGAAACTCAACTCACGGACGCCGCCGCCACAGCCGCCGCAGCCGCCCCCGTAGCCGCCACAGCGCAACGGTGGTCCGAGCGTTCGTGGCAAGCGTGGGTGCCGCGTCGCGATTGTGAGCGAGCAGTTTGGGGGGGGGGGCAGTGCGAGGGAGCAATGTTTGCGATCCCAGTAGAGGGGTAAAAGTGGGACGCGGCGAGGGGTGGGAGCACGAGGAATGTGGGGTGGAGGCATTGGAGCCACAGGAAGCGTGGAGCAGGACACGTTTCACGTGTCATGTGACAGGACCACGCGCAGGTCATTGCGTCCCACGGCAAACAAAAAACCAAGGAATAAAAACCCGCACGCACGTACGCATGGATGCTGTAACGCTTTACAACGTACAACGTGTCCTTGGAAGTGTTTAAGTGCGAATGAACAGCGCTGCGAGAGGTGGTCATGCGGCGCGTGGCGTGACACATCACCGGATGACGTCGCACGTCAAATAGTGATTGGGAGGGTGCTGCTTTCGTCGGTAGGATTTGGGAAAACCTTGATCAACTTGACAGGTTTTATTGGATGCGCCCCAAAACAGCAACAAAACTTCATACTAAAGTTCTGTTCGTATTGGATTTGTATTACAAAGAGCCATTGTGCTCCTGATTGTACAGACACAACAGACGGATGGGATGGCCAGAGCGAATGGGCGAATGCTTTCAACCTTAATTTGAAAGCGTAAAAAAAAAAACGAGGAACACACCTCCTTCCGTTTCATTACCAACTTGCAAATTTTGATTCTTGCAGAGATTTCAAACATTCACAAGATAACGTTGTGGAAACCGACTTTCAAAAATGAAATAAACTACAGATATCTGAATTCGAGAATGGTGTTGACACTGAAATCTACACCTTCACACCAACAACAGAAATGAATAGCCAAGTCTGTGCCACTTTCCGTGCCACGTTCCGTGCCACCCGAGCCTTCTAAATGCTCATTGGCACACGTGGATAATGACCGGACTATCTGGGTCTATGATAATAATTACATTCAACTTCTTCTTTGGTTCTTTCGGTAAAGTCACGTAGAATGAGAATAAAATAATAAATGAATAAAATAAAATAACACAATAAAATTCTCCAGCGCTGTCCTCCAGACAGTCTCGTCCCTTCACCTGATGAAGGCCACTTGTGCTGTGGCCGAAACGTCGTGGGAATTTTATTGCGTTATTTTATTTTATCAATTTATTATTTTATTCTCATTCTACGTGACTTTACCGAAAGAACCAAAGAAGATTAATCCTTGCAGTCACGAAAGCTTTAAATCGAAATTTACATTCAACTTATAATGCATATATAGTATCTGC